ACTGATGATAAATTGCCCTCTGTTGTCTGTTATATCAACAAACTTTGGTCATCGTAACAATTTCCACTTTGTTAGAACTGCCTTCCATTATCTGTTACCGGTATATCAAACGTCAGCAGAAGTGGTCACTGTATTGTAAGAAAGAGTGTGGCTTATATATTGCTGCAGCTTATATGTGGATCGAATGAAGAAATAGGTTAAAATCTGCTCTGGGGCTTATATACCGGTGTAGCTTATAACCCTTGGTTTGATTACAATACACCTGCTGAAGCAGATTACAGAAGAATGTGTCTCCATCTGTGGGACATGCAGAATTGATAGAAAGGAGGTAACATATAGCTATACACAATGTAAAATCACTGACTTTTGACACAAATTGAACCCAAAGATTGTTGTCTGTACTGTTGTCTAGATTCATTACGTTGTATGAGTTCGGTATATGGTCTTTTACTGAAACACCTACTCCACAAGAGCCACATTTCCTGTTTTCTTTGTTTAACTTCTGTTTTTTCCTATTCATTTATATCCAGGTATCCGTAAATTTTCATTTCCTTTTAAAAGTGTTTCACATCAGAGCTAAAATATCAGTTTGGATACTCTAAAACTTCATGTTCAAATTTCTAATTATCATAAGATTTCAAAGGCCAACCTCTACAGTTCCATACAATAAGCCGCACGTGTCCCTATTGTTTCCACAAGTCGGTTTTTGACAAAATGTTTATTTTTCTATACTTGCCAAGTTATGTTATGATGGTTTTTATGGATGCCTGGAAGTTCTATGTTCTGAATGTCATCTCTAATGTTTACCTTCTCATAAAGACTGACTTTTCAGAGCATGTTTTTTTCCCCCTGATTGTGACACCTAGTCAGAGACTTGGCTGAAGTACTGTACAAATGTGACAACAGTCTACAACAAGTCAGAGACTTGGCTGAAGTACTGTACAAATGTGACAACAGTCTACAACAAGTCAGAGACTTGGCTGAAGTGCTGTACAAATGTGACAACACTCTACAACAAGTCAGTGACTTGGCTGAGGTACTGTACAAATGTGACAACAGTCTACAACAAGTCAATGACTTGGCTGAAGTACTGTACAAATGTGACAACAGTCTACAACAAGTCAGAGACTTGGCTGAAGTGCTGTACAAATGTGACAACAGTCTACAACAAGTCAGAGACTTGGCTGAAGTGCTGTACAAATGTGACAACAGTCTACAACAAGTCAGTGACTTGGCTGAAGTACTGTACAAATGTGACAACACTCTACAGCTAGTCAGTGGCTTGGCTGAGGTACTGTACAAATGTGACAACAGTCTACAACAAGTCAGTGACTTGGCTGAAGTACTGTACAAATGTGACAACACTCTATAGCTTGTCAGTGACTTGGCTATAGTGCTGTACAAATGTGACAATACTCTACTGCTAGTCAGTGACTAGGCTGAAGTATTGTACAAATTTGACAATACTCTATAGCTTGTCAGTGATTTTGCTGAAGTACTGTACAAATTCGACAATTCTCTACAAAAAGTCAATGGCTTGGCTGAAGTACTGTACAAATGTGACAACAGTCTACAACAAGTCAGTGGCTTGGCTGAAGTACTGTACAAATGTGACAACACTCTACAGCTAGTCAGAGACTTGGCTGAAGTACTGTACAAATGTGACAACACTCTACAGCTAGTCAGAGACTTGGCTATAGTGCTGTACAAATGTGACAATACTCTACTGCTTGTCAGTGATTTTGCTGAAGTACTGTACAAATGTGACAACACTCAACAAAAAGTCAATGGCTTGGCTGAAGTGCTGTACAAATGTGACAACAGTCTACAACAAGTCAGTGACATGGCTGAAGTACTGTACAAATTCGACAATTCTCTACAAAAAGTCAATGGCTTGGCTGAAGTACTGTACAAATTCGACAATTCTCTACAAAAAGTCAATGGCTTGGCTGAAGTACTGTACAAATGTGACAACACTCTACAACTAGTCAGTGGCTTGGCTGAGGTACTGTACAAATGTGACAACACTCTACAACTAGTCAGTGGCTTGGCTGAAGTACTGTACAAATGTGACAACACTCTACAGCTAGTCAGAGACTTGGCTATAGTGCTGTACAAATGTGACAATACTCTACTGCTAGTCAGTGACTAGGCTGAAGTATTGTACAAATTTGACAATACTCTATAGCTTGTCAGTGACATGGCTGAAGTACTGTACAAATGTGACAACTCTCTACAACAAGTCAGTGACTTGGCTGAGGTACTGTACAAATGTAACAACACTCTACAACAAGTCATTGACTTGACTGAAGTATTGTACAAATGTGACAATACTCTATAGCTTGTCAGTGACTTGGCTTAAGTGCTGTACAAATGTGACAACACGCTACAACTAATCAGTGACTTGGCTGAGGTACTTTATAACTGTTCCTGGTCTGTAATTAACCTGATGTAATGTATGTGGAATGCCGTGTAGCTGGTCTATGATTGTATTTGATGCTGCACTGCTGGATATTGGAGATATTTTGCCTAGGTTACATACACCACTAAGAGGATTATTTTATTCTGTTCTCTGAGTGACGTTTTAAGAAGATTTTTACGCATTAACTCATTCTCATGTAACAACCATTCCAATATTTTCATACTGTCATCCTACAAATAGTTTCATACTGTCATCATACAAAATACTGTTTAGCTGTTCAATAGATATATTTCTATCTCCATGATTAAGGGTGTGTACACTATGTATGTACTTGACTGATCACCCTTGAACTTGATTTACCAATCCACTTCAAGAAATAATTAACAGGTATAGTTGATGTTTTTTGTGACATTAGTAGTAAATATGATTATTGTGATATCACAGATATATGTTACTACTATCATATTATGAACTTCATGTTATGTCACCAGAAAAAAAGACAGTTTTTTCATTATTTTGTCTCTGTTAATTATAATGCAATGTCTTAAATTTGTATCATCATTTAATTTAAAGAAATAATTTTCAAATGTGGTTTTATTTGTACCGGTAATTTGTTTTAGGTCATATATAAATGTAATATATATACTTATTGCATGCTGATTTTGGTGCAGTTTTTGTGGAAAGTTCAGTTGAAATTGCATCACTAATGTTTGGCTGTATTATTTTTATAATACTAGTTAGTGCAATGATCAATTGTCTAATCATGTTTAATAGTGACAGATTGTGTCAGTGAGTTGTATAATGTTAACAAAATATTAATGAGATTTTCTTGTAATAAGGCAATTTAATTGTATGGCTGTGACATCAGGTTAATTTGATGCAGAACTTTTGATACCCATAAAATTTTGTCAGATGGTTTGTTAAAACATTTAATGTAAAAGTTCATCAGTATTGCAGCAAGTAAAACTGAATACTTCAATGCATTTACTAGCTTGGTGAACAGTTTTGAGATATATTTTCATACTACTTTGTGATAAATAGATGTCATATTATTACAGGCATGCCATGTCTAATTTCTTCGAGTCAAATTTACCAAAACATTTTTGAATATGGCATTTTTACTTTTCATTGAGTTATTTGTCTCAGGTTTTCATTATTTTTTTTCACAAAACAGCTATTTTCCAATTCAAAATTAGAAAATCTAGCAAGAGTGGCAAGTGCAATAGAGTTAATTGTTCAGTTGCACTTACGATTGGTTGGGGTGATTGTTGCTTTACATTTTATTAACAGCCAGTGTCATTAAAGGACATGTCGGCTTCAGAGTGCCCGAAGAAATACCACAAACCTGTGCTCAATATTGTGTGCTAGAGAATTCAGTCTTATTGGAAGTACTGAAAATGTTCAATATGTACTCTTGAAACAATAATTCTTGCTCAAAGAATTTTAAAATCTGCACATTAACTAAGAAATTATGCACAGGTGTTCTGAAGATCTATCATGCCAATTCAATATGAATTTTTCAATTGAGATGTTCTGATTTTCAATGGCAAATATGACTTTTGAATAGAAGCAAAATTGTGATAAAATGCTTGTACATGAAAGAAATGAATACTCAATGTTTGTGTGAGTATGTTCGATGGTGATGCTATTCAATGTTGACATTTCCAATTGTTGTTCATTGTAATGTCATATTGAGAAAATACCAGTAATGTTATACTGAATACTGACAAGAAAGGCATTGATGGCGTATATTAAATTTAGCTCTGTACAGGCATCTCTGCAGGGGCAATTTCCAGACAAGAGCTCTAAAATCATTCAGGATAATTGATCCAAAACTATTACTGTAGTGGTTCCTTTAGCTATGGAGAATTTCTCAGATTTTTTGCTATGGAGAAGTTCTCAATTTAAGTACTTTTTCTGTAAACATTGAAACACGCTAAAATTTCAGTCGATCAGAAGCTGCCCCCTGAAACTGATCAAGATAACATTGATTGACTATTGGCAAAGTTTTCCAGGTTTATAAGTTATTCTGATATGTATATCCCATAGTAAATTATATGACAATTTATCATGTAAAATCATTTCATTTACTCCAAAACATCAGTGGTAAAAGATGATCTTGTCAACAAAATATCAGTTTTGGTGGTGATATGGGAGCTAATACCAGTAATTGTTGTACATCAAAACATACATTTATATATTTTTTCGACCATTGGGTACAGCAAATTATGTCATTCTTTGTGTTATCTTGTTTGAAATGTCATACTGAGAAGATGTTCATTAGTAATATCTTCCACTAATCAATGACCATTGGTACTGGTGAAGTCTTACTGAGAAGATATTCTATATTGTTGTCATTTTGAGAAGACATTCAGTGGTAATATCATCCTAAGAAACTGTTCGTTGGTGTCATGCTGATAAAATGTTTTATGGTCCTATCGTGATTTTTCCATTTAGTTCATAAGTTATATTTCATGATGGTGTGATTTTCTTCCTTATCGTTGATCTCATGCTAAGAAAGTGAGTGGTGGTACAGACTTTTTTTATGGTGCCATGATGTCATTAAATTATTTTACAGTTTTGCCGAGGTGTCTGACAGGAGGAAGTGAGATTTACTCCAGGTGAAGTTAACCGTGCATGGCATTCAATTTTTGATGCCATGATGGACTTCACAGGGATACTGCCACGACAGGGAAGTTCTGAAAAATCACGCAAGAGGACAATGGGGTAAAGTAACATTTATATAATAACTGAAGCCATCAGAACTAAATCTTATACTATTCATTATTTAAAACAGAATACAGAAGTTCTTGATATCACAAGGATCAGAATTAACAAATTGCCTGCAATAGCATTGCTTTCATGTTAGAGTGTAGAATTCTATCCTGGATAATCTGCGATGTACTGCAATCAGATGCAATACAACTAGTCTTAGATACAACTTCCACATTGCTGTAGATGAGTAACTATAATGTCCTTATTTAGGGTTCTAAGATAACATCCATTTGTTATACCTATAGATACTATGGTATATTCAATTACCAGGTTACCAGTGTATTACAAGGGTTACCATGTGAAACTAGTAGAACGGATTTTTTTAATGGATGTGTAAACTTTCAGAAATTTTGAAAGATTTGTTTGATGCTTGTTGGTATACATTATATAACATACAGTATTATATACTTCTGCTGAAATTATATAGCTGAGAAAGTTGATTTTCACGGAGATAAAATTATTTGGTAGATTTAGAGAAAGACCAGAGAGCACCAACTCTGGGTTATTTGTTGTCTATTGGTTAGATTATGATTTTCAGAATCATTTTATCATTATGATGGTACTTTTATTATCTCCTTGTAACAAATTATCAGAGAGGGGTTAAAGTAATGTTCCTGTACATACATACATAGTGCTTTGTCAACACTCTAGAGACAACATTCTTTGAGGGATTATGATGAAACTTCACACACTTACAAAGGACCATTTATATCTTGTAAAAAGTTTGACATTCAGAGTTCTAGTGTCAAGGTCAGTCATTTTTTTTTTAATTTAGGAAATCCTTTTACTGACTTTATTCCTTAAGAGATTTTTAGCTATGCCATGTCATCTGTCAACACTCACTTTTTACCTAAAAACTGCTACTAGTCATGAACCACTAAGTGTATTTTGACCAAACTTTGGTCAGAAGCACCCTTGGGGGAATGGGACAAATTGGATATAAAGAAGGATGGGAGTGTTGAAGTGGAAACAGTTTAGTGTAAATAGTGGATCTCACCCCCTTCAGGATAGAGGGGCAGTGCTTTATTGGGGAAATAGAATAATTTGTTAAATCCTACATCTGCTGAAAGAATGACAGGACTGTCAAAATTTGATCACATACACCACTGGGTGCACTGGACTCAGTTTTATAAGTTGTGGACCTGAACCCTTTCCTAACCTCTCCTGGGGACAGGTCAGAGCCAGGTAGGGAAAATAGAGGGGTTACTTAAGTTTGAATTTAGTGTGTAGCTATAAAATTCCAAATCTGTGAAGAAAAAAGTGTAACAATAAATCAATGGTTAGAAATCCCTTCAGTGCTTACAGTAAAGGATTATTTCATCTCAGAGCTGAAGTTTCAGTGGTTAAGATTAAAGGCAATATCACTACCTATTTGGAGAAAATTCTGCTCAGCTTTCTACTTGCTTAATTCATTGAGGGATTTAGATCAAATACATATAAATCATTGTAACATCACAGACAAATATGATTTTTAAGGTTGTAGGGTTAAGATTAATGCCACTGTTACAATTTTCAGAAATCTTGTCACTATTGGCCATCTTCCTTATTGTGCCTAAGTCAAGGTAGAATTGTGAGGTAGTTTGTATCATTTGCGATGTGTTGTTACTAACGAAGATTAGAACTTTGATTATTGTTTTATCTTAGAAACTTGGATGTTTTGGAAGATCTTGATGATGATGACAGTCTTGACCCAGGATCAATGAAGATGTCAAAGTATGTAGTAATCATGGCTCAAGATGACAAACAATTTCTGAACAAATCATTCATTCTTTTCATTTAATCAAACATGTTCCATTAATATCCACCAACTGAATTATTGTTGTCTTCTATTTTTCTTTCAAGATGGTATAAATATGAGCTCTATTTATTTTACAACAATTGCGAAACAAGTTATTTCAGCTAACATTAATCACTCTATTTGGCCAAGATGTAAGCACAAAAGGGGTGTTACTGTGGATGGAAACAGGAGAATCCAGGGAAAACCTGTGTGGTCAGACAGATGACCCGTTCTTTTTCACATCCGTTAACCCATGTGGTCAGACAGATGACCCGTTCTTTTTCACATCCATTAACCCATGTGGTCAGACAGATGACCCGTTCTTTTTCACATCCGTTAACCCATGTGGTCAGACAGATGACCTGTTCTTTTTCACATCCGTTAACCCATGTGGTCAGACAGATGACCCGTTCTTTTTCACATCCATTAACCCATGTGGTCAGACAGATGACCCCTTCTTTTTCACATCCATTAACCCATGTGGTCAGACAAATGACCCGTTCTTTTTCACATCCATTAACCCATGTGGTCAGACAGATGACCCCTTCTTTTTCACATCCGTTAACCCATGTGGTCAGACAGATGACCCGTTCTTTTTCACATCCGTTAACCCATGTGGTCAGACAAATGACCCGTTCTTTTTCACATCCATTAACCCATGTGGTCAGACAGATGACCCCTTCTTTTTCACATCCGTTAACCCATGTGGTCAGACAGATGACCCGTTCTTTTTCACATCCATTAACCCATGTGGTCAGACAGATGACCCGTTCTTTTTCACATCCGTTAACCCATGTGGTCAGACAAATGACCCGTTCTTTTTCACATCCATTAACCCATGTGGTCAGACAGATGACCCCTTCTTTTTCACATCCGTTAACCCATGTGGTCAGACAGATGACCCGTTCTTTTTCACATCCATTTGTGTAACATATGTTACCACTGCCTCACTGTGCATATACTGTGTCGACCAAATCCAAAACCAATTGGAACCAGTGTAACATGCCAGTTTTTTTAATGCCTCCTTCTTCACCACACCTATGTGGAAAACAAACGCAATGCAGATTATAATGTGAACATGTAATACTACAATTCTGGTCATGTTCAGTAGGTCAATACAGAAAATCTGAATGTAAATCACACTGCAACCTGGTGCCTCTATGCACGTTTAAGTTGTATATAATACCATAGGATAGAAATAGATGGACTAGTACTCAGATCTGATCACCAGAAATGTTTAGCTGAATGCTAATATCTTTGTAGTGGAATACATGGCACTTCTTACTTCCTTCTATAGTTAATTTTGTTAAATAACAGTCATGCCTAGGGTTCTTATCTAATCATCATGTAAATTATAAATCACATACATATCTGTTTTTATATGCATGCAGCTGTTATGTTATTTAAAGGGCAGAGACTTGGGACTTTAAAAACTTTTATTTCAAATTAAATATGTTAGTATAAAGGTCACAGCCATTGGACCTGAACAAGGTTCATGTCTTATTTATGTTGTTTAAATGTCAGAATATGGGACATTTGAACTAGTTCATGTCAAATTTATGTTAGTGGAAATGTCAGAGACTTGGGACTTTAAAAAGATTCAGGTCAGTTAATGTTTGTTTAAAAGTCAAAAGACTCGGGATTTTAAAACGGTTCACTTTGGTCAGAATCTTGAAACTATATAAGCTTCCTGTCAAATATGTTATTTTAAGGTCATTCAGCGGGTATCTATATGTATTGCATTAGGAAAGTGAAACAGACACTGATACTTTAGGAAAATTGTTTAGTGTTGGTGCTTTATAACTTACATCAGTGACTCAATTGCAATCCTGGTCTAGTGAATATCTTGACTGAATCAGTTATAAATAACATATGATGAAGTGATAGTTATACAAAAACTTTTATTATTTTACTAGGCTAAGTCACCCTCTGCAATGTTTCTGGATCATAATGAGAAAAATAACAAGATACTTGTTCCAAGCATTTCCATTTAGTCTTTAATTTCACAACCTTATTGTCTTATTATCACATAACGATCATGATATTCAAACACAGAATGTTTTTCACACTCTGTGAGAATAGCATCTTGCAGATCAACTGTGCCTAATCTGTATTGGTTCTGAAGTTGATATTTGTTAAAAACAGTAATTGATTGATGTCTAAGGACTGACCTTGCTAAATGAATGACTCACTTTTTCTGCTAAAACAAAATAGAGTATATTCATTAATATCATGTCAGAGAAAAAAATAGGACGGAAGCTACATATATTAGATCTATAGATTATATATCCATTTTTTTTAACTGACAAGTTTAGTTGCTGTCATACTGGTCACCAATCTGGGCACAATGGATGGAGGGTGTACAGGGCACCAAGTGACATTTACTAAGATAAAGCAACAAGATTTTTGCAACAAAATAATCTGATTTTCAAATTTTTGGGTTTATTTTCAACTGAACTCGGGTTATATAAAAAGGGGGAAAAAATTCAGTTAGCATATACCGTAATGTATGTGCATAGATCCAATAAAGTGATCAATCCAGAACATGTGACAATGAAGTCAAAGCATGTCCAATCATATTTGCTTAAATCTGGCTGAGGATGGCCTTTGAAAATGAGTGATTTTTGTAGTCTAAGTGACAGTTGAGGAAAAATGGTTGATTGGGAACAAGGAGTTCAGAAAGGAAAGAAAAAATGATTCTAGGACACAAATTGAATGCTTTAAATATTTTCAACTAAGTTAGTTTGAAAGCATTGTATAGACAGTGGGCCTAATTCCACCACAATGATGTATGTAGAGCATTAGACATCTTGGCATGTGGCACAGATTATGCAGATACCTATCTTTCCTGATTTCCCAGTAATGATTGTAAGTTCATTATGTAGTAGATATACTGATTCCAGATAACAAAACTTACAGGTCTTTCGTCTTTCGTGTTGACAGCAGAAAATGGAAATCTATTAACCGTTACTCCTTTTTGTCTCCATCAGTATCAACTTTTTGGGCAGATGTGAACCTCTGGGAAGTTGTCATCAACACACAGATCTCTTTCACTTAACTTCTACTTATGTCTAGGTCTTTTCGTTCTTTACCGAGGTAACTGGGGCAAATTGTTAGGGTTTTTTCATTCTTTCTGTTTGTGTGGAATGGCTTGTGACAGCATTCAATGTAAAGAGCCCAAACAGGTTAACAGTCGACTATGCTTAATAGTAACATAAATCAAAGATTGCCAAGGTCTGAAACGTTGGTGGACATCAGGATTTTGGCAGAAAATTATTAATTACACCTGTAATACCTTAATGACAGTGAGCATATGCTGTGATGTCGTTTTGTGTCTCTCAACCTTCCTTCACTTAATCAAATGTGTATTTTTTTTTTTAGGATGAACTTTGATTCTGCCTCAAACCTCGGTGACAGGTAAGCTAGTGACTAGTACAGTCTGTACTTAAAAAATATGAAGAACATGGAAATACTAATTATTTTCTGTTATATATTTTTGCAAAAACAAAAATGATAATTTTGATGCCTTGTTTATTTTTTCATGTAATAAAGCTTGGATCAGGATTTATTTTCTGGAGTATTGATGAAAAATAAATATGAAATTTATAATTTGTCTTTCTGAAAATTTAAGCATAAGTAGCTTTGTTGTTCACTTTTATGCTTCCGAAATATTTTGGGAGAGCACATAGTTGCTGTCTTTTCCTTCTGTCAGTCCATCCATCCATCCATCCATCTGGCTTTCTGTCTGTCCTTTCACGTCTTGAGCATAGCTTTGCCCACAGTTAAGCAAGGATCATGAAACTTTGTGTATGCATTGGTCACACTTAGGGGATTTACGGTGTACCAAGTTCAGGGCCATGACCCTGTTATTATAGAGTTACTGCCCTTTCTTAAAATTTTGTGTCAAGAGCATATATTTGCTTGCATTTAAACTTAAATAGTGAAACTTGCTGTATACATCAATGCTACTAAGACATTGTGCAGTGTGCCAAATTGAGGATCTGCAACCCCTTAATTAGAAAGTTATTGCCCTTTGATAAAATTTTGAGTTTAGAGCAAACCTCTAGATTTCTTGCGTTTAAACTAGGATACTGAAACTTGGTACATACATTGATCATACTACATTGTGCAGTTACCAAATTCAGGGTCCTCGACCCCTCAATTACAGAGTTATTGCCCTTTCTTAAAAAATTCTTGTCAAGAGCATAATGTTGCCTACAGTTAAACAATGATAATAAAACTTGGTGTATACATTGATTATACAAATACAATGTGCACTGTACCAATGTTAGGGCCCGCAACCCCTTAATTACAGAGTTATTGCCCTTTGTTAAATTATTGTGTACATAGCATTACTTTGCCTGCATCATAACTTGGATATTAAATGTTATGTATTCACCAGTCATACAAAAGCAAGTTGAAGTGCAGCAATGACCTAATTTCATTCAAAGTCACAGGGGTTAAATATGTTAAATTTATGAATATGAATGACCTTGACATGATATCAACTTTCACATTTGACATATATGTTAAAATCTTTAAATAATTTCTTCTCAATAACCTTAAGGCCCAGGTTGCTGATATTGGGCCTGTGGCATGATGGAATGAAGGGTTACCAATTTTGTTCATGTGATTGACATTTTCTTATTTTAAAAGTCACAGGGGTCAAAAATATGTTAAAATCTTCAAACGGCTTCTTCTCAATAACAAAAAGTCCAGGCTGTTGATATTGGTTCTTTAATATAAGCGGTTGAGGGGCTACCGATTAGTTCAAATAATTCAACTTGACCTATATTCAAGATCTTTTGATTTAGGTGAGTTGAGATCTTTAAATTCCTTTCTGAACTAGGAATAGGTTGGGAGTAATGGCATTTGTGTAGTAGCATATATTAAGAATAAGATTTCAAGTTTGTAGAAAATGTTTTTATGAACCAGCAATGTAAGCTGTAGAGTAGTTGGAGCAATGCATTTAGGCTTATACATCCCCTTTCATAGATAGGTCTTTATAGTCAGATGACTGTTAAGGCCCTTGGGACTCTTGTTTAAATTTGATACTGTGCATACAGTAAATAGTTATGGATGTATTGTTTTGAAATTTTATTTTGATTCCTTGGTATTAGGACTTATTTTTTAAATCAGCTGTTATTCAGTTGTAGCTGTCATTTGTATTACAAATAAAGCAATTGCAAAAAATGCAGGCTATGTTGTGTCTTCTTATCTATTGGTGTGTTGACCGATTTGGCTCGAACTTGGGTGGAACTGGTCAACTTACCAATAAATGAAAAGAAACCATGTATCCTGGACTTATTCCAATTGTGTTCTACTTCATAGTTTATTTCAATGCCCTGCATAACGATAGGTATCCAAGCAAGGGATACAGGAAACTGACCAGACTCTTCTGAGCATAACAGCATTGGCTCTATCCTATTATTCTTTGTATTGTCACAGACAGAACCATAGTGAGATTGAGAAGAGGAGACGAGACAAGATGAACACTTACATCATTGAGTTGTCTTCCCTTTTACCGATGTGTAGTTCCATGAGCCGAAAGCTAGATAAATTGACTGTGTTACGGATGGCTGTACAGCATATAAAATCATTACGAGGTGAAATATGAAAATGTTTAGTTAAATTATATATATATAACACTGGTTTTGTTTGAAAAGAAAAAGATAACCTTCTTAAAAGTTTGCTTTTTCAAAGGTTTTACACTTTTTTTATCACAAGCATGAAGTAAGAATGATTTTTTTTCTCGTAGAATTTGAGTACTAGTCAATAATAGAACAGACTCTGTGTTTCATATTTCAAGGTATTTTTTGTGAAATTTATTCAAATCTCAAAAATAGTGAAAATCAAAACCCGTTTATAGATAACAACCTTTACAATATCAGAACCAGCATGGTACTTAAGAGGTACACCCTAGTGTTTCTTGTTTCACAATTGGATTTTAAATATCGCTAGCCAGATTGACAACCAAAGTTTGATACATGTACTATAGTACACTGAAAATGATGGTGTAGTAGAAATATTCAGTTCACTTGTCTGATAAATCAAGATCAAGTGTTGTGAGTACCATGGACTGATACACTGTAATTAGCCATGTGTTGTGCATAATTGATTTTCTACTCTGTTTATGTATTGACAGATTTTGTGAGAAGGCATGACAATGTTTTGACAAAAATCAATTTTGAGAAAACCTTTTCCTTGCGACTCGAACGAAATTTCGACTCAATGAAATTCAAGAATTACAAAGAAATCAAAGGAAAACAATGGGGACTTGGAAATTATTTTGACTCAAATGGAATTTCGACTCAAGCAATTTTTGAAACAACAAATTTCAATTGTATAAGGATAAGATTCAGATTAAATTCTTGATCACCTAATTGTTTATAATAAATACAAATTACAAAGATGCATCCTAAACAGCCATTTTACTATCCCTGAATACTTGCAAATGTCCTCAACAGCAAGAAATGAAGCATTTTTTCCCCAAGTGTATATAAAGTAGTAAGACATGAGTAAATTGAATCATGAAACTTGAAATATTGCAGCCCTGAGGTAGCATATATAGTTTATATGTCAGTATTGATAAATTACTACCATTTATGTTAACATTAGGTTCTGTGAATTTTTCAGGTTCAGGCAGTGTCTGTTCAGAGAAAACATCACGACCATCATTCCTCTCTGAGGATGAAATGAAACATCTAATTTTGAAGGTAATAACAAATTCTTAAGTTTCAGCAGATTTAAAAGAATTGCTAGTTTGTTGAAAAAAAGAGAGATTTTTAATGTATCATTATGTCTATGGATCAAATATGCATAAAAAGTTTTAATGGAATATACTGATCATGCCCATCAACAACTGGTTAATGATAATGATTTTCTTCAAAGTCAATATCTGCAATCTTTTAATATTTGAAGCCCCCCCCCCCCCCCCCCCCCCCCTTAAAAATATTAGCACTCGTCATCCAAGCTAAGATACAGTAGTTGTCAAGATAGTATTCAGTCTTGAGAATAAGCAAGTTGATCCATCCATTTGTCATAATTTTTTGCTGTGCATTACACTAAAACTATCAACATGAAACTTCATAAGTAGATAGATCTCAACTAGAGGAGGGCAGTGTACAGGAATCATAACTCTCTTATTGCTCTTTATTTTTCATACTTAAATTTTGTCCCATTTGGGGAGCATAACCCGTCTCTGATGACCCTTGTTGAAGTTGATTTAAATCAATTGAATTAACACCTACTTTAGCCTTATTAAAGTAAGAGAAACATTGAAACCAGGTAAACAATGTAGATCAACTGGGCTTCTTGTTGAAGAAAGTTATTTGTTCTATTTCTGAAAAAGTTGATCAAGAAATGAGATTTAGTCTAGTATTGGCCTGGCTGATATGTTGTTGTAGGCTGCAGAGGGTTTCCTGCTTGTAGTGAGCTGTGACCGTGCCAGAATCCTGTATGTGTCAGAGTCGGTGAAAAATGTTCTCAGCTACTCAAGGGTAAGATTGTTGTCTGTGACATAGCCATTTGCCTTTACAATATTTCATAGTTGATAATCAACCAAATAAGAAAGATATATTTTATTATACTCAGCTTTGGGATCCTATGTGAGTTCAAATAGTTTTAAGCAGTGAAATATTTGACAAAGACATATTTGTTAAAAAACAACCTTATTACATATATATTGTTATGCTTTTAACATGGTCATATTAAAACTGGTACTATTATTCGAAGTCATTGCAATGCAGGGTGTTCAATTATACTGTGTTAATTAATACCCACGAGCCTGTCTTTTCCATCATGATGCATATAAACTTTAATTAAGCATCATATACCCTGCAAATAGGTCAAGGAAAGTAGCTCAAATAAAATATGTTTATTTTCTTTTTATAAGAAGATGATAAAAAAAGTCGTTATCTTCTGTCAAATCCTTGAATTAGATAGAATATCTGTAGTAATTACCAGAGTACAAATGAATGGGCATTTAATGGTCCAAATTCTATTGATGAATGGAATTGTTCCTTGGATCCTGATTTTGAATTAATCTTAAGATTAATTTAGCTATGAAAAGATTTATGTTTAAGCTTGGAAATTGAAAAAAAAAATTCTAATTAGAATGAAATTGTAAATTTTTGTTCAACTGGTCTTTGAATGGATAAATTAGCAGGGAATCAAATTACTCCAATGCACCATTTTATCACAGAACGACTTGATTGGACAGAGTTTATTTGACTACCTGCACCCAAGAGACATCAGCAAAGTGAAGGAACAGTTATCATCATCTGATGTATCTCCACGAGAACGACTCATTGATGCCAGAAGTATGGATATTTCTCTCATTTGACTAAGGAAACAGTCCATTAACCTTATTTAAATGCTTAATTGAAATTGAAATTATCTATAAATTAGTTGACATTCATAATGCAAATGAATGTTAATTAAAGCAAGTGAATGTGTCTTTTGAACGATTATTACCGTATGTGAAGTTAGATTGAGATACATATTTCTGAAACTCAATATTAGGTTCCTTTTGATGACTTTTTCTGCTCATCAAATTTTTAAGGCTGATCAGGAAAATGAAGTGGCTGAAACGAGGCCATCTTTAGATAGTTGAAGTTTGCTATCTTTATTTCTTCAGAAGTACTGGATGGACCTTTCTCAAATTTCATATGTATGTTTCCATTAGTCCCTAGCAGCTTAGTGGTTAATGCATCTGACCATTTTTATAACTAGCTCACCTCCTGCAGGTCTTGGGCTCAAGACCTGCATAGGACAGTGAGAAGGTACTAGGCACAAGTTGGTGGGCTTTCACTCGGCTTTCTTACACCTGGAATGTGTTTAAATGACCCAGGCTGTTAATAGGAAGCGAAGCATTGATAAACCCTTGTAGTCCTTTTTTTTTTATTTTGGGACCTATCCAAAAAACAAAACAGTTGACTGACAGCCATCTTAATTTTGAGCTTATTATCACTGTATATTGAGAAGAACTGGATATATAGTTTCTCCCTCAAATTTGATATGTAGGTTCCCCTTGGTCCCTAGTTGTACTTATGTGATATTGGGACTGATTAGCGGAAGAAAATGGCCGATAGGAAGCCATCTTTGATTTCAACAATGAAAGTGTTATCAATACTTCTTGAGAAGTACTGGATGGATTTCTTTGAGTGCTCCCTGGGATCTCATTGAATGACTGCTGTTGAAGTATAGGTGAAATGATCTAGAGTGTAAAACATTTCTAGGCCATAGTAACTTAAGGTTATGTCTTTAAATGAAGATTTGTAGAGTATGACCCCCCCCCCTCCTTACTAGGGATGACACAAAGTAATTACCATTGTATTACAGATTACACATTTTTAACTTAATGCATTCAAAGTTAGCATGACATATTTTCATCTTATTTTTCAAAGCCACCTGGTCAATTCTACCTACTGTATAGTCTTCAATTTTTTTTTTTTTTTTTTTGGGGGGGGGGATTTATTTTCATTGACTTTGTGGGCACTTTTACCCATGAATTTTAAAAGGAATATAATAGCATTAAGCTATATTTATGCATGAAATCAAGTGTTTACAAAAATGTAAAAAAAAATTTAAAAAATTCATACTGTCCAGATCATTTCTTGCTTGAGGATTGCCAGAGGCCATCTTGTTATCTTACCTTTAAACAGTTCCAACTGATTTGATTTCAGTCACAGCTGTTGAGAGCATCACTTTGTATCAGCAGCATGAATTTTGACATTGCCTACATGGTTTCATAATTGGTATCAAAATAATTTGTTGTCTACTGGTGTAAGTAATTTTAAATGAATGCTTTACCACATCTTGATTGACATGGTGAACAAAAAGTAGACGCACAAATTTTTATATATATATTGATTCATGATAAAGTTTCTTTAATCCAATGTTTTCTGATTTATAGCAATGATGCCGGTGAAGACAGAGTTTACCCAAAGACCAACACCTACACACCTGTGTTCTGGGGCCCGGCGAGCTTTCTTCTGTCAGATGAAGTGTGGCAACCGGGATTTTACCTCAATAAAGTCGGAAAAGGATGACATTGATTTCTGTCAGAGACGGAAGAAATCAGGTTGGTAATAGAATCTTGGACAACTGCTGTAGCTTTCTCTCTTGACTTCTGAGTTAAGAAAACATTATAATCAGTTAAATTAGTGGTGAGACATACTGATTCAAAGTGTATTCTTTCATGAAAAGCATCATTGTTTCTTTTCACTTCCTATTTTTGATAGGAGTGTGGTATGTCATATCTATGGTATGAAAAGTCTGAGATGGCCAAATGACACATCTGCCCTTTATTGGAGACATTCTGATCTGTTTAAGTTACTTCCCTTTTGTTTTACCACTAGAAATGTTATTAATTTATTTTTCCACCAAAATTATACAGTTAGATTTACTAGGATTGAGAAGTATAACGTAAATGACTAGTACTTCTCATTTGTGAGGTCATGTCATGGTGCTTGACAGCATTTGAAATCTGGTGTTGTGGTATACATGGTGCTTGACAGCATTTGAACTCTGGTGTTGTGGTATACATGGTGCTTGACAGCATTTGAACTCTGGTGTTGTGGTATACATGGTGCTTGACAGCATTTGAACTCTGGTGTTGTGGTATACATGGTGCTTGACAGCATTTGAACTCTGGTGTTGTGGTATACATGGTGCTTGACAGCATTTGAACTCTGGTGTTGTGGTATACATGGTGCTTGACAGCATTTGAAATCTGGTGTTGTGGTATACATGGTGCTTGACAGCATTTGAACTCTGGTGTTGTGGTATACATGGTGCTTGACAGCATTTGAACTCTGGTGTTGTGGTATACATGGTGCTTGACAGCATTTGAACTCTGGTGTTGTGGTATACATGGTGCTTGACAGCATTTGAACTCTGGTGTTGTGGTATACATGGTGCTTGACAGCATTTGAACTCTGGTGTTGTGGTATACATGGTGCTTGACAGCATTTGAACTCTGGTGTTATAGTTTACATGGTGCTTGGCAGCATTTGAACTCTGTTGTTGTGGTATACATGGTGCTTGACAGCATTTGAACTCTGGTGTTGTGGTATACATGGTGCTTGACAGCATTTGAACTCTGGTGTTGTGGTATACATGGTGCTTGGCAGTGTTTGAACTCTGGTGTTGTGGTTTACATGGTGATGGCAGCATTTGAACTCTGGTGTTATGGTTTACATGGTGCTTGGCAGCATTTGAACTCTGGTGTTGTGGTTTACATGGTGCCTGGCAGCGTTTGAACTCTGGTGTTGTGGTATACATGGTGCTTGGCAACATTTAAACACTGGTGTTATGGTTTACATGGTGCTTGGCAGCATTTGAACTCTGATGTGGTTGTATACATAAGAGTAACTCCTGGCAACAAGAGAAACAAGTGTCAGTCATTTTTGGGTGAAATAAACCCATAGCTGTCAGGTTCATGATTGTTGTGCGAGTTTCGTTTGAAAGTCCTCCAACGGAAGAAATTGTCTATATAATATGATATTATTTGATAAAGATGAACAAGTTGAACTAACAAGTGGAGATAAATTATGCATGAATAGGACATGTACGTTCGTCATGCATTGCCTGATAGTGATTTCATTATAGATTAATATGTATTTTTAATTGGTTGTCAATATTTCCAAGGGTTTCCTGTTACAGCAGACAAATGATAAATAATTTGTTACACATGCCCAGCCCATCCTTCTAACTTTGCTATTGACTACATACATCTGTTAATGGTTTCCCTCTTGTTAACCATCAAAATAAACATGTAACTTGATAAATTGGCAGCATACATAATTTCATCTGCCATTGTGTTCAAGTTGACTTGCTACAAGTGGTTTTGTGGAGTTTTAATGTAATGGACTTTGTTGCTCAGTGCTAGCAGATGACATTTCCTTGAGGTACCACTCAGTTATTACCACAACCTAGTTACCAGCTGGACCTGTCTGACATCAACATGGCAAATACATGTAGCCAAGCCACAACCTAATTGATACAACTTTAGGTACATTCATCACTGTTTGCTGTCGGTGCTTATATTTATGTACGTCAGAAGTGTTTAATGAACACCAGTTTTTTATGATAAACTTGGGGCTGTTACTTATAGGGTTTTGTAATGATATGATTTAAGACTGGTCTGCATTTCAACAGATATTGTTAATTTCATGAAAATAGTTTTATAGACATTTTGAAATGTCTCAGCCAAAAATTGTGTTATTGTAGCCAAGTATTTAGTCTTATATAATTTTGTTGACTTTTTAGCTCACCTAAGCTGTAAACTTTTCATGAAATTTCAGTTGGTGATCAGGAAAGGCTTATGAAAAATGACTCTTTTTGGGTTTTTTTTTTAGACAAGGTTACTTGAGAGTAATACTGAACATTTGAGAGTGAAAAAAAAATCTTTGTGAAATAATTAATTAGCAGTATGTCACATTATGGAGGTGAAAGAGACAGATACAATTTTGGATAATTTCAATGAGTGGTTGAATTATGTTTGATTTAATTGTAATCTTGTTCTGTCTGTTAAAATGTGTAACAGATGTATATGTAAGCTACTATTACGATTTTAATGTTAGGTTCATATCATGGGGAATTCTGTAAAAAACTGTCATGCCATTTAAACTGCTCTTGCTGTGAAAGACCATGTTAGACAAGGGACAAACAAGTTACCGTTGTGTATTTTCTCAACTGAAAGAACTATAACTTGACCTGAAATTGTATATTGACATTTAAAAATACATGAATAAAAGCATCCAATGTTGATTGAAAATGATGACTTATCAGCTCACCCGGTCCAAAGGGCCAAGTGAGCTTACGCCGTGGCCTGTCGTCTTTTAAACAACTTCTTCTCAATAACCAATGGCCAGATGTTTTTATATTTGGCTGGTATGTTCCTGGAACGAAGCCCGACTAAGTTTGCGAATAGAAATTATCTTGACTTATATTCAAGGTCACAGGGGTGACATTTGTTAGAACCTTTCAATGACTTCTTCTCAAGAACTAAAAGGCCTAGAGGCATGATATTTGGCTGGTTTGTTCCTAAGATGAAAGTTTTGGAAATCAAATGACCTTGACTTACATTCAAGGTCGCAGGGGTCAAATTTGTTAAAACTTTAAATGGCTTCTTTTCATGAACTAAAAGGCCTAGGAGCATGATATTTGACTAGTATGTTCCTATGATGAAAGTTTGGGGAATCAAAATACCTTGACTTATATTCAAGGTCACAGTGGTCAAATTTGTTAAAAAGTTTAAAAGACTTCTTCTCATGAACTAAAAGGCCTAAAGGCATGATATTTGGTTGGTATATATATATATGTATACCAGGTGAGCACTGCAGCCCCATTTGGCCTCTAGTTTGACCTATGACCATTGGTTACTTCAATATTGACCTTTGACATGACTTGACATTTCAGTAAGAAGTGCAAATGAACAGTATATTTCATTGATTTATATTAATGATATATTTGACCTTTGATGACATATATAGACATTTGGCTTATATTGATATTATTGATGATTTTTTTTACCTGTGATGTTGGGTGACCTACATACTAACCCTTGACATAACTTGTTTAAAGATATCAATGTGCAAAATAAAATTATTGATGGTTATTTGAGCTGTGACATATATTGACCTTATACATTGACCTCTGGCATATGATTTATATTAATTTATAAAAAGTGTAATAAAAAAAAATTGAATATTGTGTTAAGGAGATATCAACAGAAATAATGAGAAGGCAGGAAAGGAAGGATTAAATTACCATAAATATCTGCATTTCTTTTTCTGAGAACATTTTGAATAAGTTCTTACAGTTGATTTAACAAAATTTCAAATATGGGTAGAGTAATGATATTTACTTGATCAGGTGAGCCTCTGTCATTTCACATTTTTCTTTGGCTCATGTGTGGTAGAGATTGCATTAAATATACTATTTTATCCAAATTTCTTTTGCATCTGTCCCACAGGCTTTTAAGGCCTTTAATTTTTAAATTGATATAGTTAACAGAATAACAGTTAATTAATGACTCTCTTCTTTCTTTGATATAAAAATGGCTATTTTTTAAAAATTGATTCTTGCCATTCACAGACCGGAAATCCTACATACTGATTCACTGTACGGGGTACCTGAAGTCCTGGTCAACATCTAAAGTCGACCTTGGCGAGACAGATGATGCAGAGGATAACTGTAACCTCAGTTGTCTGGTAGCAGTTTGTCAAGTCAAGTCCTCCCTAGACCAGATACAAATCCCCACTAACGACAAGATCAACGTCCGCCCAATAGAGTACATCTCCAAACACAGTATTGATGGCAAATTCTCCTACATTGACCAAGGGTAGGTTTGACAATGTTGTATTCTTAGTATCAGAAATGAAAATTTTAATCTTTTGACTGACATCAGCCTTTGTAAAAATTTCAAATGTTATGCAGACTGTCATCATTTTAGATCAAAAGAAAGACTCAAAAAACAACTTTCATCTGTTATGAATTAGCCAGCTTTCATCTTTGTTAGATTTACCTAGGTTTACATGATGGATATCAAAGCCGAGGAAACTAACATTAGAATAAAACATAGAATCTTATTTTCATTATGCATTTTCAGGGCCAAGACCCAGCAAACACATTCAAAATCATTAGATTTAAAGTACTTGTTCTGACAGGCTGTGAAGAATATTCAAGCATAGATTTCATGTAAACATTATCGTGTAGGCTATAGATTAACTTCTGTATCATTTTCATTACCTCACCTGGCCTAAAGTGCCAAATGACCATATGCTATGGCACTGCCTCAGATTTCAACTATTTCCTTTAAACAACTTCTTCACAATAACCAATGGACCAAATCTTTTGATATTTGGCTCGTATATTTCTAAGATAAAGACCAACAAAGTTTCTGAAAAGAAATGACTTTGACTTGTATTCAAGGTCACAGAGGTAAGATTTCTAAAACCATTTAAGTGACATCTTCTCATGAACTAAAAGGCCTAGAGGCATGATATTTGGCTGGTTTGTACCTAGAATGAAGCCAGACAGTTTGTGAGAAGAAATGACATTGACTTATATTAAAGGTCACAAGGGTCAAATTTTTAAAAACTTTTAAATGACTTCTTCTCAGGAACTAAAAGGCCTAGAGGCATGATAATTGGTTGGTATGTTCTTAGGATGAAGACTGAAAAACTTAGCAAAAATAAATGACCTTGACATATTTTCAAGGTTACAGGGGTCACAAATATGTTGAAACACATAAATAACATCTTCTTATGAGCTAAAATGCCTAAAAGCATGATATTTGGCAGGTATGTTGCTAGGATGAAGCCCGACAAAATTTTGTGAAAATAAATGACCTTGATATACCAACTTTTTAAGTGAATTTAAAAACTGAGATATATACCAGGTGAGCGCTGTAGACCAGTTAGGCCTCTTATTACATTTTTAATTAGTCATCAAATTCAAGAAAATATTTGCTAAAGATCATGTTGATTACCCGTTTAATTCAAATAAAATATCTCACTACAATGTTGTTTGGTTTTCCTCAGTTGAAGAGTGAAATAAAATATTTATTGCAATAAAAATTTTGCAGAAACCTTATATGGTCACATGTCACAATTATGATAAAAAAAAAAACTTGTTCTGCTGTATTTAATTTTCTTCCTAGAAGTCACAAACTTACCTGCTTATAGGCAAAAATTTCAGGGTTTTGTACAAGTGTCACACGAAAGGATTGGATAATGACCAATTGATAGGTAGACAGTTTTACATTTTTTACATAAAATAATCTGAGAAAATCTCATCTGACAGACTAGTTGACTTTATAATTTATTCGTCTGTTGACAAAATCTACCCATCTGAATGAACAGACAAGCGCTTTGTTTGGACATGAATATTTCCCCTTTCAATCATGAATTTTTTCATAGTTTCCCATAGTTGTATCAGTTTTGCCCTTTCAGTGAGAGACATTGTTACATTGGACTAGGTAAGCAATCACTTAAGAATGTATAGTATGATGATGAAATAGTATCAAGATTTAAATTATATGAGTTAATGAAAAATTTTGTTAATAATTGAGTTTTGATATTGATACATTGAATGTTGGTTTACTTTAGGGCAACCATCTTACTAGGGTACCTTCCTCAGGAGCTTTTGGGTACATCAGTGTATGAATACTATCACCAAGATGACGTCTTAGAAATGGCGGAAACACACAGAAAAGGTAGGAAGTAATTGTATTTACATTAAAGTTGAAGAATTTCTTTGCATCAAAAGTCAATTGTTTTGTACAAACATGAGGAATAAAAAGTATTTCACTGTTAAAGTAAATTGTAATATAAAAGAAGTCATCTGTACCCTGGCAAATTAGATTATCGTTGAGTTATAGCTGAAAGTTTTTACAAAAACTGAGATAGAAATTGCAGCAGGTTGCTGGTTGGTGAATCCTCACCCTAATACTTGTATGTGAGGCGTTGTTTGTAGCATTTGCTGCACTCTTGTTTCATTTTACAGTGCTGAAGTCAAAAGAGAAGGTGGAGACATGTGTTTACCGATTCAAAATCAAGGACGGGTCATTTATTCACCTGCGATCTCGTGTCTTTAGTTTTCATAATCCCTGGACTAAAGAAGTCGAGTACATTGTGTCCACAAACACCATCATACCGTTAGTATCACCTTCAGATAATTTGAACAAATAGTTTAGTAGCAATCAGTTATGTTCCAGCAGGTATACAGTTTCAATCAAATGTTATTATTTCAATTCATTATCATCTCTTTAAATAAGGACAATTATCTTTCATTGAAACGTTGTTTAAGATAAGTCATTAATGAGATTCAATTTATTGCCATTTCTCTTTTAATAGGGCGTTAATCTTTCAAATCAAAATTGTGAAACAAAAAGCTTTTGTGTTGTAGTGATTTTTCAAATGCCAATTCTGACTTTTCATTTTATATTAACAGTTCACAGGAAGTCAGCAGCTCAGGACAAGAAATAAGTACAGGGACTTCTGGGATAGGATTTGATAGTGAAGAAAATAATTATGAAGACAACGAATTGGGTAAGGATATACCTCTCTCTTGATTGTAACTGAAACAAACCAGCATTCATAATGTCTTTTCCTTCTTTTACAATGTTATCAAAGGAAAAAGAAGTCATTTTATTTATATCAGGTTTGCTTTAAACTGCACATTGCCTTCCTCAGAAATACAAAGCCAGTCTGAACGTGGGCAACTCAATGTACCAGGAATGGCTGGAGGAACACGTTTGGGAGCTGGGCGCATTGGCAGGCAAATAGCAGAGGAAATTCTGGAACTACAACGGTAGGTTGTGTAATAACTAAAGTCACCAATATAATTGTTTCATGGGTCTTGAACAAGAAATTTTTGATTAAGGTGTTCATTAATCAAATTGGTCTGAAGAGGCAAACTTGTTTGTCAACCAATTCAATTACTTCTTTTCAACATCCACATTTGGGATATTGTGTTCATCCTGTCTGTCAGTTCTTAGTTCCATGATATAAATGTGCCTAATGGTTTTGAAACAAATTGGTTTAGTCTTATGTTAATGTGTGTATATAAATAATGAGGGCATATATTTATCAATGGTAAATTTGCATTTGTTGAATAATTGCCTTAAAGATTGGACACGATCAAATGATGCCAATTTTCGAGGTCAAGGTGAACTTATAATTTATCACTTTGCTTGATATTGATTACCCTGTTGGTCAACTATTGCTGAAATAGGTTCTATTTCAAATAAAAATCCTTAAGCTAATGTGCATAGTGGAAAATCATATTTCATGCAGCTACTATTATCAAATTATACATTTTCATAGGGTTCATTTGTCATGGTTTTTCAATAGAAACACTTTGTTGTTAACGCTTGATGCTGTGGATAAAGATAGCTCCATACAGCTACTTATACTAAATCTAGCAGTTCCTTTACATTGAATTCTGGTATTGAGAGTACCCAAAAAATCAACAATGATGAAAATTAGTCCCTCACACAAAATTAATGATTTTTACAGTGATTATCTTAATTAGTGATTTTATAGTAATTAATCTGCCAAAGGGCCAGGTGACCTTATGCTATGATGCTGTGTCCGGCTGTCTAGCTTCAACTTTTCCCTTTAAACAAATTCTTCTCAATAACCAGCAGACCAAATGCCATGATACTTGACTGGAGGGTTACTGAAAGGTAGCCCAACAAAGTTTGTGAAGAGACATAACATTTACCCTTATTCACAGTCATGGGTCAGATTTGTAAACACCTTTTAAACAACTTCTTCTGACTAACCAAAAGGCACATGAGCATGGTATTTGACAAAGTTTGCTAAAAAGAAATGGGCTTGAAGCATATTCAATGTCATAGAAAGTAGTTTCTAGGTCAAAGTCTGATAAATTTTGAAAAAAAGGAGATGATAATTAACCAATAATTCAGGTCATATCTCAAGCTGTCAATGCTTAGAGTTAAATGTTAGAAACTTTGTTGTAGAAATTGGTTAAAACTGATAGGATGTGCCCATTTTGAATGCCAATGGTGTGTGTGTTAATGTATTTGTGAAAAATACTGGTTCTATTTTTGATGAACTATGAATACAGGTAAGCAATGCATGCCCATTGTGCCTCTTGTTTATTTTTTTGTATTCTCATATTGATATCCATGGTCCTTGATGTGATATGTTTACTTGTTGGATTGTTATTACAGTGGTCAGGGAAGTAACACGGCCACTGCCTTAGCGGACAGTACCAACCCTGCTAGCACGCCCTCTCCAGAATCTGTAAGTATTTATAATACATACATAGCAACTGTCATTACAAGGTTATTCTCAGGAGGCATTTGTCCTTATAAAATATTATGTCAGTAGCTTGTTTCTACCATAAATCAAGTTTACTATGAATTCAAATGTGGTGTTAGGTTTATCATGAATTCAGATTTGTCATATCACTGTCATATTTTTCTAAGGTTCCCCTATCAGGACAGCATATCCACATCAACAGGAAAATGTTTTGAAAGTAAAATGTCTGTACCAATCCTGGATAAGGTTTTGACCAAACACTTAACAAAGTTTTCTATTGCAATTTTTCCTCAGTGTAAAGTAATTTTCAAAACTGTGAAAGATTTAAGATTCATTTATTTCTCATAAAACCAAATAAGTTGTATAGAGAATACAACATATGTACTTTATATGTACAGTTTGTTTACAGAAGCTAGGTGTAATAATTACACATCAGAGGCAACATCATCGATACACTTGATGAACTTAAATTGTTTTCACTGCTTTCTTATATTTGTAAAATTCATTATAGAAGAAAATTTTAATATACTATTTCACACAATCTGTCCAAGAGTGCATTACAGTACCTTACTTAAGACCTGTGAATACAGCTCATGCCATTTCAAGATTCTTGAAAAACATATTTGTGTCAAATAAGATGTTATTAATTTCTGTGTTGTTATTTGTATCAGTTTTTGGAATTTTGTTTTTTTTTATTTGGATGATGATAACATTGGTTTATATAGGTACAATGGTCATGGGTCATATTGCAGAAGATTAATGGTGAGGAAAATGTCACCAACCATTGTGTTTACATTTTTTACTTTTCAACTCTGGATATGTTCTTGAGATACATGTTACATATACTGTAACACCAGTGATAATTGACGGTATTTTGGCAACAATATTGACAGATTTCCTCTCAAAAAGTACAAATGTTGATCGATGATATACAAAACAGTTTGCAGGTGTTTCCTTTGATGGTATTGTCACGAATGCTGCCATACTTTTGCCCAATGTCAAACTTTTACCCTGACCGCAAGGTCAACTATTGGTAGTCCTTGAGCCATTTACAGAGTTGTATTGTGACTGTTAAGGAACAACAGCTTGGTGAGATATTCACCAAGTAGACTTTTATTAGAATTCTTGACATTCTAAAATAGCGTGATTTTTTTGCCAATTTTGCAAATACTTTTAAAAAATCGAGATGAATACTGTATTTCATCTGAAAGCAGCTTCACATGTTTCAGGAAGAATTCACCAAAAATTGAAATCATCAAATTGTTTATGACGCTTGTCTCACATTCCTCTTAAGAAACCTGAAGCTTGTCTAGTTTTCAAAAACTGTTTTATATCTATCCAACCTTGCAGTAAAATTTTAACAATTTTTTTATCGCAGTTTGTTCTATTTACAGTTCATCAGCAGTACAACAACAAGGCCACAGTGTGTGACCACAACAGCAGGTAAGAATTAGCTCCTTCATCAACTACAAAACTTTCTTTTTATTAGAATAAGACTATAAGGAGGAAGTATCATTTTGCATATCAATAGAATGCTTAGTACATGCGTGTTGTGGCAGACTTTTTCATGAGCCTTTTCCTTTTAAAATACATTTTCAGAACAGCTTGATTGTAACATCCTCAGACCATTTGGATTGACACTTCTAGGGGGTCAAATTGGCTGATAGGGCATATCTCAAAAAATAATACTTGAGGCATGCCCTTAAATTTACAGAATAAAGAAAATTATCAAGAGCAAAGAGGTTGGGTCAAAAGTGATTATATTAGCAGATTGTATGTCTCTTCGTAAACTATTGATCAATTTTCAGTCACATTGTGCTGAGAGCCATTGACATGATGCTGCACCCTCAGCTTATAAGTATCAGTAGTTGAAACTGAAGTGTCTGGCATTTCTGTAGCCAATCATTCCCAGAACTAGAGTGATTCAATATCACTTCAAAAGTGACATTACAAGACATTTAACTGCAGGAGTCTATAACAAGGGGGAAAAAAAGATAAAAACGTACAAGTTTAATGAACCCTTCTCAATACACAAATTGATTTTATTTGCACATTGTATGCTAACGCAAGTTCTTTACTTGATTAATTTTGGTGACTTCATGTTAATAAAGCAAAACGGATAGAACATGATTACATTTAAAGAAAGCAGTGTATTAAAATTCTTTCTTAATTAAACCCACATGGTTTGGGCGAAATCAGCTGACAACATTCATAAACCTACTACCAACTTATCCTGAGCTTGTTGCGGTTGATACTTGCATTGTTAAAATTCCTTCTTGGTGTATTTTGGTTATTTTTAATTATATATGAGATCAATGGCACAAGTCTAAGAATTTCAAACACATACTCTCTGTCTCAAGTTCAAAACAAATATAGATAGGCTTATTATCAGGCGTAAGCTAATTACCTCATAGATATGTTAACAACGTTATATATTACAGCATCACCGCCCTCATCATCCTTTCTTCCTTCTGGCTCATCCAACATTCTCACATCTCCGGCAACATGCTCAGCACCCATTAATGGTCTGTCATTCAAGGCTACAGGTGAGTACCTAAGCTTTTCTTACTGTGTATGCTTAAAAAATCAATACCCAGGGTTTTTTTCAGGGCTTTTGGGACAATTGCGGGCCCCATTCCCAGCTGATATTAGTTCACATGTAAGCAAATCCGAGAAATTTGCAATTTACTCCTGAAATTTTCCTTCCATATTCTCCAGTTATGTTGGGGTCATTGGCCACAAATGTATGCGAATCAAGGGTAGTTATTTCATTTTCTGTATATAAGGAATATCGGAAAATGGTGGATATATACATATATATCATGGTCATCTCGTTGGGATCTTTTTTGGTTGTGTTCAGACTTTTTTAAAAATTCTTTGAGTTTGTGAATAGATTTGACAAAATTTCAAACTCTTATATCAGTATATATAGATATTGTTCATGTTGATTGTTAAATGTTTGAAATTGGAAATGAAATCAGTTGTACAGACATATGTGATAATTATTGGGAAAGTATTTCTTCGTTTTAATTAGATTCAAATTACTTGGAAATTTTACATGATGTAGACATTGTCAAATGTATTTTGTTTTTTATGTCAACAGCGCCAAGCACTAATATGCCATCCTGCTGGATGTCTGAATCCAGCTTGATAGAGAATGTCATAGCAGAACAACAAGCAGTCGAGGATATGGATGGTTCTGACGGCAATGACGAGGCAGCTATGTCCATTATTGTGAGCCTTTTAGAGGCAGATGCAGGCCTAGGTGGACCTATAGATTTCAACGACATCCCCTGGCCACTATGATTGTACAGGGAGCAAGGACCTACATTCTTTGCCTCACAAAAACATGCCCTTTATCAGAGACAAAGTTGTGTCACCTTGCTCCCCTTAACAGTTTAATGAGTGTTAGAGCAGTTAGGCTGTGGCAGTTTGGTAACAACCTCCTTATGTTATCAGAATTAGTTTTATAAAATTCTTAGTTATGTTTTCTTGTTGACAGTGACACTGATAACAGGGTGGCCCTGTTAATGAAAACAACATCTCTTGGCCTTCAAATAGCTGGGTTCCCAAATGTGCTTCAGAGAATATGTCTTTCTGTGTTAAACTACGGATGAGGCAGGGCTGCATACATTACCTTGTGCCTGCAAGAAGAATCCAATGGCCTAAACAAGAGATGGTTTTAATTACTTGTACTTTAGCAAGAAGGTGTGATATAAGTTTTAAAAGTGCATTCAAACATTACACTAACTCAGTGGAGGTTGACAGGATGAATATTTATATGAAAAAAGACATCTACACAGTGATTCTAATTTCCACAGAGGTAGAAGGTGCTCAAAAGTATCATTCTTGGCGTTGTTTGTAATTTGTTTGACAAGCTTTAAAGCTACTGTGATGATGTATCATAGGAGTTGAATTCAAAACTTCAACTGCAATCTTTTTAACCTTGTTGTTTATTGTTTATAATATATTGCAATCATGCAGATATGGAGTTCTGATGGTTATAGTTTCGTCCATGTGAAAGTTGTTGTTATCAACAATGGCTACTGTTGAATGTGCCATTGTATTTGTATATACTTATGACATTGAGAGCTCAAATATTGTAATCAGTAAATTAATATTTTTGTGTGTGAAATTTATAGAATTCCAAAGGAAGAATACTCCACGAGACCAGTTTTATGCAAACCACTGGATGATTGTCCCCTTTGTTTATATTGTCCCCCATGTGTATTCACTTGTATTTTTGTATCAAAGGGACATTTTTATGTTTTTATTCTAAAATCTGCCTTAAGCTAAATGAAAAAATAGAGATGAGTATTTTACTGTTAGTAAATATAAAAGAATAGTGTAGAATAATTGCATGAATTCTGTAATATGATTCAGAATCATCAAGTGTACACTTTGATGCATGTTTAGCCCACCTGGCCTGAAAGTCAAATGAGCTTATGAATTGGCACAAAGTCTGTCTGTCTATTGTAATTTTGTCTGTAAGACACAATTTCATGTGTCCAGAATTGCTGAAGGTGTTTTACTGACTTTGAAATAGGCTCCTGGCTATACATTTCGTTTAAGGTTATGCTCATCAGCATCCTAACATAGAGTTTTAGTGGTACATGTTCATATGTATCTGAAATTATTTTCCTGTCAAAATATCTTTAAATTGGTACCTTTAATTTAACAAGTTTGGTTTTGAATTTATAATAGAAGTTCTTACAAGTTCTTGTTTTTGAATTTGTCTCACTTGTGATACAAAATCTTTTGGCCAAAAGATGCAAATAGAAAGATCACACAGAAACATCATGGATTTCCTACAATTCTCTCCACCAAACCGATATTATGAATATGACTTTTTTTACTTAATATTCGAGTTTAAACCCTCAAAAGTCTTTGTGACCTTTTTACTTTCTTTCCCTCACTAATCTATTTTAATTTATGTATATTTTGAAAATCAACTTTATAGGAAGAGATACAAATGACTTACAAAAGTAAAATTAATTTTGATCTTCTTTTTTTATTTACTAGAGCTTTTTTCAGTTACTTATGTTTTGTAAACTGAATATAGATCTCGACTAAAAACAGTTTGGGTATGTATTAAAGTTGATTTTTATTCATACCATCTCCTGTTTCTCCTTCATTGTATATCAGTTGTAATGGGAATATATTGCCCTTATTGGACCAAAATTCTACTGACTGCTTAAACAAAAGACAGGATTTGTTTTAATTAGAATTTTTTGTATTTTAAAGACTACTCCGAATATTTTATAAATATGTATAAAAGATTATAACCTAGCTTAGTTAAAAGTTTTAAAATATTTTTGGCAAAATATGTTAAAATAAAAAACCAGGTGAGCTGTTTAAGCCTTTTGTTAACTGTAACAGGGATACTATATTGTTTTTACCAAACTCTGCCTTAACTTAATCATACAAATCAGAGAGATATTATTAATTTTCTGTAATTTCAAGAAACGATATTAAAGTATGATTTACTTGAGTTCAATGTTCAGATGAAATTTTCAGTCTGAATTTTTATCCAGTTGCATGAGTTCAATGGGTTGTACTAGATAATCGAATTAACATGACGCTGCTTCAGTTGATGAGATTTAGTGAGATTTATTTCAACATTTGATAACATAAAATTTGAAATTCCAAGTCACATGTACAAGTAATATTTCTTGGTGTCTGGTTTAGACTTACCACAATGGTTTATTTGTGTCCAACAACACCTGATGGACCACCCAGAATTTGGTTTATTTATTTTAAATATTATGGATAAAGCAACAGTGATAAATTAACACCTTAATGTATCGACTAAAGATCTTCATATGTCACTTATTGCCCCTTAGGAGCCTGCAAAATGAAATTGATGCACAGGGTGCAGTTTTATAGAATCAACAGGCCTACTTCAAAGTCATTCTGTGGTCTGAAAATTCTCTAAGTAGAACTAACTTGATAGAAATATTGACTTATGTGATTGTTTTTATAACCAAGATTTAATTTTATGATTTCAACCAATATCTTGCCATGGTGTACCAGTTAAGGAGGTTAACAAGTGTGGAATAGGCTACAATTTGGGGCAACATCATGTTAATGAAGATATTTTTATCCCTCACTTGCTTGCAATTATGTTCTATCAATGGAAGGAGCTACTCAGGATCTGCTTAGAAAGCAGCTAGTAAATTAAGTTTATGATTTTACATGTTCCCAGAGATTGTTCTCTCATTCGTTTCAGAAAATACTTTTAATCATTGTATATAAATCCTTTCACATTCAATTTTAAGTGTTAGTTTATCTTGATAGTTATTTTAAGTAACTTCTCCTAGTTGAGCAGGATCTCGCTAATCCTATCATTTTGATTTCCACAAAAATGTCACAAAGTTACAAATTCTTCGATTTTAAACCAGGAACTTATCAATTCCCTTTCCTGTGCTGTGAAGCTCTGACAAATGCTCTGTGGCTTGCTTCAGCTATCATGATGATGGTTGCTTTCTTACTAAATAGGTTACTGTTTATTATTTGTGAAGACTTATCACTGACAAATGTTGACATTGCTGGTCGATGGTTATTATCTAATGATGTGATGTACCACAGGGATTTGGCACTGACCCCTAACACCGGTGATCTGTATATGTGAAGGTATTTTAATTACACCTAGATGTATATCGACTGTTGTGTTGGAAATTCATGCCAAGATCCTGTCCATTATGTAGCATTTTAAGGTCCCAATTTTCTTTTTTCCTTAACAGTTAACGTTGTCTCCATTGATGTATTGGTAAAGACAAATAATTTTTTGTATTATTATTATCAGGTTGTTTGTTCTTCATTGACAGTATCTTGCTGCATAATGTTTCTTACTGTTCATACTCCAATGTCATGTATCTTGTTAAAACAGGAGTCTGTTGGTTGATCATTAAATTTATCTCTTTTAGACTTGATGCCAATGAACTACATCCAATCAAACAGATATCAAACTAGTTAGACCTAGCTGTTGTACAGATATCCACCTGACTACATTCCATTATGCCATGATTTATCTGGCAGGAAGCCAATGTCTGGTAATAAGCCCACCCTTATCTATTGAGGTTCACCAGACTTTGAGCCCCACCCTCTTGGATTAATGGCTAGACTAGTACACATTTTGTCATGGCCTGTGGATAATATCATTAGAGATCTTACCAAATGTTTTGCTGTATAGAACCAATGAAGGATGTATCATTGTGTGGGTAAGATTAGGAAGATATTTACATGATTTTTGATATTTCACACTCCTTAATGTTATGTTCACATTCACTCTAATAGGTGACCTTCCTCTGAAGAGTGCAATCCTACCCCCTACACACACCCCACACACACCTCATCCCATCTTTGAGAGATAGGAATGTGCAGATTTTTCAATTTTTACTCAGTGATCAATACTGTATTCACCTTAATAAACCCACCTGCCACCTGGTCCTATACGCTTTTCCCTCATCTTTCTTCATGGAAAGAGAAAAGGCGTGTTAGTTATACCTGTAAAAAAAGGTACAACAGTAAGTGCCTGAACAGTCTGCCAATACAATCTGCACTCTTTTTACCAAAAACATAAATGTGTGTAAATGTGAAGAGTTATTCGTATGGAAACATTTCCCTATACATTTTGTGTTTTTGTATGTGTAGTGGGCATTTATTAGGTCAAATACAGTAAGTGATAAATAATCTTTTATTTGTAAAAACTTTTAACAGATTTCATTATTTATTCTATGTCCTTGGATCTGAACCTGGGACCTCTGACTTTCTTGTCTAATGCTCAACCAATCAAGCTATAGAGAAGTTCTCTCTATCAGTATTTACAAGGGTTACAGAAGTTTTAATTTGAAAAATTCCCATTTATTTATTTAATGGTTTAGTTTCTGTTCTAGAATGTAACTCACTTCTAACCACCAAATGCAGACTACATTTTTTCCCTTGAATGAGGCATCTGATATCTGTGTGTGTATATATATATATATTTGTACATTGTTACTTATTATTTATAATTCATTTAACAACGATTTTATCTACTGTAATTTTGTGGGGTTTTATTTTCTCAAAGCCCATATAGCAAGAACATTAGAATCAAGGCCTGTTGTATGTTTTATATTACACAGTATTGAATAACAGATGAATTTGTACTGCCTGACAATACAGGATTAATCAAGTACAACGAATACCCATTGAAATATAACATAGTATGGAAAATGTGAATTGCTTTTCCCCCCATGTACACATTTGAATCCTTTCATTTGAATTTATTCGGATAGGTCGGACTTTTATTTGGATGCCACTTTGATATTGAAAATAATTGTTAAAAAATATTTTTAAGTAAACTTTTAAATTCTTATATGAGTCTCATCTTTAATTACTTAGTGTGAAAATAAATCATTCAGGAAAGCTGTTAATTGTGTTTAAAATGATTATTAACCAACATGCAATTTCTCAGATAAATTTCAGAAAATCCATTGTTACAATAAACAATAATAAGATATATATATATTGTGTTAATGTTATGATACAGTCATGATCTGCTGTACAGCAACAGAAGATGACTATATCTTATGAAGTGTGCTTTAAAAAAAAAAAAAAAATACATTCTATTTCACCATATCATTATCATGATATCACTCCCATTTTTGTAGAAATTGTTGGTCAGTATGACATAACAGCAGATTGGAAATTAATTTCTGTAGATCAGATCTGAACTAGTATGGTATACCAAGATTTCAATTGTATTGAAGACTTAACTTGTAAATAGCAAACATCTTGGTTTCTGAACTTTTGTAGGTCAGGACTTAATTGAAAGAACAGTAAAAGCACATCATGGTGAGAAATGCAGTCTTATGGACACTCGTGACCAAATGAGTAGAATTGGTTTTGAATTTAACAATGTTCTTCATATCCTTGATGTAAAATGTGTTATTTCCCATAGATGGAAATGTTCTGTTCAAAGTGCTTTTTCAATATTGTAAATTTCATTCATTAATCCTGGATTTCTGTTTCCAACTGGGTCTCAAGAATTTAGTATACAACGGGTCATTTTGTCAATTTGTATGTCCATGAGCCTTATCTTTTCAGAAGTTTTCTCAAAGTTCAAGCCAACATTTCTGATATTTTACATTGTGATGCACAGTTAAATGCAGATATGCAAGGTTTTTTTTAAATGTAGGAAAGTTACGGTTTCATTATATTATCACGGCCCATGGAAGTCAATGTTGCTACCAGCCCTAACTTTCTGATAGATTGCTAAGAAATGATAATTTTGTGCATTCGGACAAAGACAATCAGCAACAGTAAATGTGGTAAAGACTCTTCAGAGATATCACATCATTAATATAACTAGTTGCATCATAGATATGATCATAATACACTTTAGTGCAAAGTGTCATGTTGATATTGTAAAATTGGTTGAGTAATGAAAAGTTAACTTTTCCTCAATAGCTTGCAGCACATTGTACACAAAGACTCTATGGCAGAGCTTCAAACTATATCTTCAAATACTTTTAAAAAGTTAAGAGACATCAAAAAATGTACTTCATGTGATTATAATACATTTATGTACAATGTTTCAGTTTCAGAAAAAAGGTAAATATAATTTTAGTCTACCGATAATGACAGTTTGAGACTTGTGATTTTCATACAATTAGCTTAGGCAATCATGAAGTGTCTTCAGAAACTAAATTTCATCTTGTACTGTATCTTGGCTGATAAAATTGTGTTCTCCTTAGTATCCTGAATGTACTCTCAATTGCCATAATTGCCCATTATGAAGAATTAAGAAGAGACCAGATATTAAGAAATAATATATGGATACATTAGATATGATAAGTATATGGTACCTACTAATAAGAAATTCTTCATTTTCTGTCAGAAACAAGGATTGCAGACTCAGAACTCATTCCTGCACCCTAGTGTATCATTTTTCTATTCTCCATACATGTACTTGCATGCTTGAAGACTTACTTTAGGAATTTGATTTAGAAAAGGAAGGAGGAAAGAGAAAAAAAAAAAAAAAAATGATAATTAAACTTTGTTGATTTATTAATGAATAATTTTCATATGTATAAAATTATGATGAATACACATGTATTTGGAAAGAATAGAAAATCAAGCATAGTTAATCATAACTCTTTAGAAAAACAGCACAAGATTTAAACCTTTGGGGTTTCAGTTCAATAAAGTCATCATTCACATTGATACGATATTTTCTTTGAGATTGCTGGTCAATATCTGATCTAACATGGTCAGCTTGATTGCACCCTTTGTAGTAGGATTGGAGAAAGAGGAATGATTTCAATTTTTTTTTTTAGATGATGAAAAATGTCTAGGTAATGTATTTATTTGATTGAAGGGAAAATGTCTATTAATAGAGGTGATGAAGGGCAACAACAGAAGGGGGAGGGGGAGGTACAAAGGGGAATGCAATATGGTAAGTTACTTATTAGGATTAACACCGTACATGTACGAGTTTTCAATTTCAGGTTTGTTTCACAATTTGTAGTCAGGTATCTGGTATCTAAACTATTCGTGTACAGACTATATAGCTTGATACCAAGAAATATCAAAATATTGTTGTTTCTGTATGATTCCATATGGTCTCAATGGTACGAAAAAACATATTGTATATGCCAGGTGCATGTAGATCTCAATGGATACGATGGCTATGATAGGTTTGTATCAAACCTGTTGTTTTTTAAAGTAGACTGATATGTTTCATTTCAAAGACATTGTGATCTGATGGTTGTACACTAAACAGTGCCCTAGAATTATCCAAGGATTTTTGTATCAACAAATTTCAAAACCATGACTGTTCTATATTGTATGTTACACTGGAATATCTTGAATATAAAAAAGAGCATTTTTCCTATCCCTGTTGAAGTTTGTATATTCATAATTTTACCAAGGTTACTAATTCATGACAGTTTTGAATGTGTATAAAAACTCCAGTGATATTAAAAATGCAGTCAAAAGCTGCAAGCCTGAATGTAAAGTGTTCTTGTTTTTTGTTATACGCCCAACAAATTATGGAGAATCTTATGTTATGGCTTGTCTTTCCATCAATCTGTCATTAACTTTTATTTGAACGGAGATCTCCTCCAGTTGTTTACAATGGTCATACAAAGGCAATATGCAATGTGCTGAATTCAGGGCCCTAAACCCCTAAATTAGAGAGTTTTTGCCCTTTATTAAAATTTCCTGCCTAGAGAACAACATTAAATTGTTTGCTTTTTAACAAGAATAATTAAACCTGTAACCCCTTAATTACGGAATTATTGCTCTTAGTTATAAGTTTTGTCCAATAAAGTCATTTTCAGGAAGCATTTGTCAGTTTTACTGATACTCTTGTTTTCATAATGTTAATTTTGTAAGGAGATCTCTCTGTTTTCAATAGATTTCTTTCAAACTTGGTAGGCTTAATCACCATAACATGTACAAAAGACACTCGTCAACATGTGTTTTCCTGAATAGCAATTCAATTTGATTGAATTTGAGAGTTACTGCTCTTTGTTTTCAGAGCATTTATCTTGTTCAGAGATTTCCTCTCTTTGTATTTAACCAATTTGTTTCAAACTTGGTAAAGAAAATCATCATGATATGAAGTTGTGCATTCCTCAACAGCAATTTGATTTGAATGTTTTTGTGAGAGATAGAAATGGAAAGAATAATTACATCTGTATGGACACCAAAACCAGATCACTACCAGTACTTTACTAACAACTTACCATTAACCCACAGTTCATTGGATGGGACTTAAAACGGTGGCTCGTACAAGAATGTCAAACTCACACAATGAATCTCTCTGTGGCTTTTTGAAAAAGAGCAGGCGTGAAAACTGCCTCTTGTTGTTTTCATAATGTTAATCTTGTCCAGAGATCTCATCTCTATTTTCAACTATTTTTCCGTTTTGTATAAAAGGAGGGTCTCGGCCCCCTGGTGCTAAAGGGCCGGAGCCCAATAAGGAATTAGATTTGAAAGTATTGGAGAGTTACTGCCCTTGTTTTTTTCATAATGTTAATCTTCTGCGGATATCTATTCTCTCAGTTTTCAACCAATATTTTTCAAACTTGGTAGGATAAATCACCATGACATGAAGTTCTGTTTTCCCTACACAACAGATTGATTCAACGGTTCTGATGGATTCTTTGTCTTTCAGTTTTTTGGGTGATCAAATTTTGTATGGAGATCTCCTTCCTCTTTTGTTTTCCAAATTCTTTCAAAGTAGGTAGGCTTTATAACCATTACATGAATTTATCATTTCCTTAATGGCATTGTCATTTTACTATTTCGGGATGTTATTGACCTTTGTTACTTCTAACATTTTTACCTTGGTCATGGATTTCTCTTCGTTTTTATCCATCTCTTTAAAACTTTTTACTTCATCATTAAAACATAAAACAGTTTTGACTTATCATTACCATTTCCATACTTCCTTTCAGTACAATAAAAACCTGAGCATTTCTTTGGCTTGGGACTGGTACATATTCTTCCACTTTACGGTACTCATCATAATCTACATATGCTTCTCACATTTTCATATATCAGGGGCTGCAATCACTCTGTTGGTAGAGATTTGGTTTTGCTACTTCCATTGAAGATCCAAGATATATAGTTCAATGATACCTATTAAGCAGTGGTTTGTGATTCTCAGGATTATTAGAAAATACTTTTCGGACGATGTATTGGTATAATGATATACTATACTCATTTTTATTATTTCTATGGCATGAACTACTGGCCAAAGACAGATGTCTGGAGATACTTGTTGGAGGCAAGATGACATGAAGTATTTTGTTTTTATCACAAGTCCATGAAAACAGAAAAATTAAATAAGTTGAAATTTACACTCACTAGATTCCACTAATATAAACTGTGAAAGTGTTTCACTTGATTGTAATATTGTATCAGTAGAAGATTAATATTTCACTGATTCCAGTGACAATCTTTCCTCATTAATGCTGAGTTATTCATGAAAACCATTCATCAATATATTAACACAATCACTAATACCTTTTTAAAGAAATGTGGAAATGTTACTTTGAGCATCATCATGGTTGTATAGAATACAAACCAGTCTACCTCACAACACATTAGCTTCCCTGAGATCAGACAACTTACTTCTGGTGTTTGTTGTACCTCATTACCACAATAATGTCCCAATTTTCATTGAAAATTGAATAATTTAATAGCTACATTTATTTTTTTTTAAGATATTGACGTAAAATCGGTTAAACAAGTTTACCACAGCTTGCCATTGTCATTTAATATTTCTTTTTACATTTAATGTTTCTTAGAAATGCTGATATAAAAGATTGTTTCCCTGACCAGAAGCATTTGACCTCTGTGAAAACAGCTTGACTTTGATTAATTTTTGAATAATTATTAACATATCTTAACCAATCGGTGACAATAAAATACAACAACAGAAACACAATTCTAACCACTTTATTATATACAGTAACAGCAGAGTGCATTCACATAAGAAATACTCTTAAGTTCTTGATCACATAAAATTTAACATTAAGAAGCACACATTTCTTCCGACTGTGTCCATTTGTTTTCATAGTATCATACACTGGGCTCAAATTTGACTTTGTTTGATGGTTGTTTGAGGCGGAGTTTATCCATTTCACCCTCAATATCATAGAAAGACATTTCATGATAATGGTGTACTTGTTCTGCTTGGTACTTTGTATTGTCAGTCTGATCAAGGATGGGCTCAGGACCTTTTACTGCTGCAAACATATACAACAACATCACATTTAGATATCTCATAATTAACATTATATTCACAAGTCAAGGGTTCATCTCACTTACAAACATATGTTTACAAGTCACAAGGGTTCATCTCACTTATAAACATACCGGGTATGCTTACAAGTCACAAGGGTTCATCTCACTTATAAACATATGCTTACAAGTCACAATGGTTCATCTCACTTATAAACACATGCTTACAAGTCACAAGGGTTCATCTCACTTATAAACATACCGGGTATGCTTACAAGTCACAATGGTTCATCTCACTTACAAAAATATGCTTACAAGTCACAATGGTTCATCTCACTTACAATGAATTCTATAGGAAGTAGCAGTCGACAACAATTCACATCAATTAAACCTCTAATTTTGCCTGCTTAGACATTCCCTAATTTATCTGATAAAGCTGTCATCACCATTTTGTCTGTCAAGTTAGGCTACTGACTTAAACATTTACATGGTACCTGGAAAACTTTAATATGAAATTTATTTATTATATTAATAATATATCAATAATAGTATTTTACCTTTTTTTTTTTTTATTGGTACTTAAATTATGTTGTCCAAACATTGGTTGCATGGCTATGCTTTTAATGTACAGTTAAACTGTCGCTGAAAAAACTCATTCAGATCTGATAAAGAATTTCACCATTGATAACAAATGTTGGCCAATAGCTTGAATTAAGAAATAGCTGACATAACATGACATAGAAAAATTGGCAATTTATAAAGGTTACCACCAGTGTTGACTGGAATTCATATTGATGGTCTGAAACCAAAATCAGCCTGCTGAAATTCACATTCCCCTTAGACATTTTTTGTGCAAAATTTGTTGAAGATGACTTGAAAGTACATGTAGTAATTTGGCCTGTTGGTAGCAAAAAGAAAACATCTGCAGTAATTCTAATTTCTTCTGAATTTTTAAATAAAAATAAGGCAGTCTGTTACTTTTAAATTTGATTGACCTAGTACTTTAGAGGACACTTTTGGGGACTGGAGAGCAGCAATGAGCATTTTGATAAATTATTTTTCTAACAAGTTGAAATAATATGATTTTCTCCTTGAATTTTTTCTGTTGTTTTTACATTCAGAGTCCTGAATTTTTTTCTGTTGTTTTTACATTCAGAGTCCTGAATTTTTTCTGTTCAGTTTATAATTTTAACATGATGTCTGCTGGGCCTTTCCCAAGAAACAGCATATTCTATATAAAAAACCTACCTGATGACGGTGAGGAGGCAGCTCCTGGTGGAGATGGATCACTAGGGGTGTTTGGTGTCTGTGAAGTGGATGATGTTCCTATATTTCTCCAGAAAACTGATGGGATCTGAAAAAGAAAAACGATATCTTTTACATCATCTGAATGAGGTTGTTCTTCTAGGAAAATTACTGCTATCAATATTGATGATTCTGTTAATGAGTTAAGTGACGTAACAATATATGTATAGCTAAAATTTGTGATCATTTTTTTTTTCAATCCCAAATACCAGAAAGTGTATACATATGCTACATTGTTAGAATCCACTGTCTTTCATTCCTTAATTACTACATTTGATATTTGATTATGTTGATGTGTTGTTAAATGTGGTCACACTCCATTAGAATGTTCTTTGCACCTTCACATTTTCTATATTTAGAGTACTGGCTTTTTCAGTGTTGGCTCATCTCATACATGTATCTGGTTACAGACTTTCAAAATCAAGGATTGGCGTATGTTTAGAAAAAAATACCTTGTAATAATTTTTATTGTATAATTATTGCATAAATTTGTATCAGGATGATTTCCAATGTTACAGATATGTCAAAATATCTTTTTGATTATTAGATCCTAAATTCAATTTTGAAATTTTAAGACACTCTTAGTTAAATTACTGATCAAATTATTTCAGGAGATTCTAGCATTTTAAGCAGGTCATGAAATTAACTGGTCAATATCAGGTGATTTGGAGACAATGCTTTTAAAGAAATAGAAGTGTAATCATAACTTTGGAGCTTGAATAAGATATTGGTTGATTATGGTTAAGGCTGACAGCCAAATTAATTATCAATACAATAGCTGTAGCTAACTTGGTGTGATCAATAATAACTATTCATAATAGGCCAATTTGTGTATTACATGTACATGTATAAGCAAATTTGTGGTTTTCCCAACGGATGGCATATAAAAGATAAAAGTGTCAATAAGGTAAAAAAATAATCATGTTATGTCCACCAACTGTGAATATATTGTAAGAGGTCTCTGGTCAGCCAATTTATTACCTAACATTTTTATGCCAAGTTCAATAGTGTTCCTTTCATAAGTTTCTCATCATGTAACATTTTTGACAGAGCAGATTGATACAAAAATCTTGTAAGGACACACTTGGATTTCACCAGCTCAGTGTGGTCAGCAGCCGGAATTAAGGATATTGAGTGAATTAAGGGGGTGCAGAGGAGGGCGACAAAACAGCTCCTGGGGCTGAAAGACTTAACTTAATCAGAGAGACTTTAAAAACTGTACTTGCCATCCCTTGCATTTTGCAGGATGAGAGGAGATATGATTGAGACCTACAAGGTAATGAGTGGTATATATGGAACAGAGTTACAGAAAGGAGCAACTCAAGGACAAATTCAAATAAAATCTGCCACAGAAAGCTAAAACATACCATCGAAAAACTTTCTTCTCCCACAGAGTACGAAAGGTGTGGAACAACCTAACCATATGTAATTAATCTAATGCCCATAACACCAACACTTTTAAAAACCATCTGGACAAGCTATGAAATCATCAGGAAATCTACTACAACTACAGAGCTGACGTAAACATGATCATAGTAAGTGAAAGACCAACGTGTAAAACTAAGCACGAGTCCGGTAAAGAAGAATTATACATTCCTGTACTGGGAAACTACTTTAAGTATGCAAGTAAAAATATGTCAAGGGCACAGTAATTTTTCCATTTACTGCGATTTCAGAAGTTAGCATGCCACTATTTCAAACGCATTCTTCAGATGCACTTATCTGTGATACCACAAAATCTTAATGGTGTCTTGAAATGCATTTTCCATTCTTTTAGAATATATTACAAACCTGTATCGTATGTCTGGAGACAAGTCTTCTTGTAAGGGTAGCCATCTTGCTTTTGGTTGTTATAAATTTCAAATCCAGGAATATAATGGAACGCTCGTTGACTAGGTATTGTATGACGTATGCTCACAACACATAATATTTTGCCTTGCAATGCTGCATCGAAAATAAATGTGTATGTTATCAAGTTTATAGTGTGTGATATACCAGAGACATAGATAACACGTTATATACGTCTCTGGATATACTCTAGCAATGTTATAACACAAGATTTGAGTCAAGTTTCGGTTACCTTAATCAGGCAAGTGACCAGTGTACTGTACGTTACGTAAGTGGTAAACAAAATCGAAGCGTCGTCAAATCTACAACAATAAGTCGATACCATCTTGTGTTTTTTTTTTTTTTATTGTTTTTCTATAATCTGTATGTCACCTCTTTACATCATATTTAATTTAGACAAAAAATGCCTACATATAGCACAACCGAAAATATGGTCGATTCCTTACGCAAATCACGTGCGGCATCGAACCATTACACTCAAATCTTCGCAAGGTTGTGTAATAAGAACGTTAATCACATTGATTTATGACCAACCAGAAGAAAATGTTCCGAAACTTATTGTTTTCTTAACGGGTATCTTAAAGCACGTTCTGATGTTCAGTCAGTAATGTATGACAATGCAACATATTGCTACAGGGAAGGTAGATGTAACTGGCGAGAAATGGAAAGAAAGAGTCAGGAAATAACACTTGAATTAATGGCAGACTGTCCTTGTTGGTGAATTCACCCGGCGGAGTCAGTGTCAGTTCGAGGTAAGTGGGCAAAATGATAGACTGTTTATCGATTATTTTGAAGTGTACATGTGTGACAATATACTGAAAACCTTTTTAAGAAACAACCCGTTACCGAAACAAATTACTTCCTTTATTCTGAAAGTTTGCTGATACCAGTGTCAGAAAATGATTCTGAAACCCGACTAGTGCCAACTACTGATTATGTATATCAATGAATTTTCTAGAGTGAAAAAGTATGTCGAAGTTGATAAGGGACACTTGCATAAGTTAGTACCCTTCATAGTGTCCTGTAGCTCTGTTGATCAGTATTTCAACCAGAAGTTGGATAGTTCTACTAAACTGATTATAGTTTTTATTTATTTGTGGTTCATTGTGATATGTCTTTAAATTCAAAATATGCGCAACGTGAAAAAAATGTCACAGAAATAATTTCCTTTAAACGATTTGATTTCAATTTGAACACTTCTTGTAACAGATGTTTAAAACTATTTACCAAATACAGTGATTAGATATAAGCTTTCGATGGGGCCAAACAGTTTTGAAACAATGGAAATCCACTTGAAGATACAGGTATCTGTATTTCTCGGAAAATTGTTCGAAATTGATAAAACGTGTCCATTGTGAGCCACCCTTACCAAAGTTCCATTACCAGCCTGACTGTTTAAGGGAGATAACTCGTACTGCAACTTAAATCCCAATCGTGTTCAAGCCGGGATAATCATGTTACCTGTACATTCTATATATAGGACCAAAGTCTACATCATCTCGACGCATGGCGTCACTGTTTACTTTGATTGCGAAAACGAACCATAGATTAAGACTAAAACAAGAACAAACAAAAAACAAACAAACAAAATAACGCTGACCTCTTAAGAAGACGCATTTTAGGGTAATTGACCCATGAAGGATCACGGTTTGTTTATTTTGCTTACAACAAACCATTTGTGTACTGAAAAAAATATCGTGGACCTCAAATGATGCTATGAAAACATACACACAAACATAATATAGCAGTGCAATATCATATAGCAAGTAAACCCAACATACAAAAACATCACTTAACTTCATTAATTCAGATCTGAAAAATACATACCTTAGTATTCCTGTATTTTTTCGCGAGTTATTCCCCTTTGACCAGTATAAATTTTGGAACGATTATAAACTTTTGGGGCGTAATGATTTTTGGGGGCGATATTGTTGGGTGTAATGGTTTTTGGAGGTAATATGGTTAGTGTATTATGAAACAAACTTTGGGCGAAACGGTTTGGGGAAGCGAACGTCATACATTCCCATAACACTTGATGAGCCGGATGAAAGCATGCTATGAATCTTACTGCGTATTCGGGGAAACCCCACGTGGTTGGGCAGGTGCTACCTTACTGACCTTTTCACGTCCTTTTTGAGAATCGGACTCGACACGGTCAGGTAAAAGATAAGTGCGTTACCACTGCGCCATCCGACCACCCTTTAAACCCAACTTCAAAAATGATGCATATCTTTGTTCAGCACGTGCACTTAAAGGGTTTATCGTGTCTAGATCCGAAATTAACTGCTAACTAATAATATAGTTTTTCAGAATTTCTGCATTTTCTTAAAATGCTTTTATAATCGGCGTTGATAAAAGCTATAACTCCTAGAACGTTTCTTTAATGTTGCGAAAATTGTATCTTCTTTATAACAGGTAATGCTCCGTTTCCTGTGTACCTCCGTTCTTTTTGAAATGTTTCAATTTTGTATCTATGTGTTGGGACGTTCATATTAACATGTATTCTTAATTATAATTAGATCTTATCTATATCCAATTTTTGCTAGATATCAATGATGTTTGAAAAAGAATAGTTTCGTTCCGTTTTATTGACTGTGTCCTTGCCCTGTAACCGGAAGTGTGTAGACCCCATTCGGTCTCTTACACGACCAACATGGCGGAACAGGTACTGAGCCATGTGGGGAGGCAAGAAATGTTGCCTTTCTCACTCAAAAGCGACAAGATGTTTCATAATACACTTGCTTTAAACAATTAAACCACTTAATGTTCTAATCGTGAATCAATAAACGGTGAATTTATTAGAAATAACCCGCAAACAAGTTCTTTATTTTACTGCACAGAATGCCTTAGTTCGCGACAAGAATAAAACGGTTGCCCGTTTCAGGTTGTTCGTTTCACGTTGTCCCTCTTTTCAAGCCTTGTTTATTTTATAAATATTTAGACTATGACTCGTCAAATTTAAATTTCGTTATGATCACAAGATGTTAATCTCTGCAACGTTTAGTTATTCTTTCTAAAATTTACAACTGAGAACAAAAGTCTCGTTAAAAATGGTTAACATGTAGCCTACTGTACCAAATTAAAACCATACAAACTTTTTTGACAATAATGATATATTTAAATATGCCGGTATTCTATAATTTTTTTTTCTTGTCAGAATAAAAATATTCTTGTACAATTAAGGAGTGTCGCAAATCATAGTTGAGTGACTAGTGTATAGCAGGTTTTAGATGTTAATAGATTACAACAGTCAGTACTGTATAATAATCACATGTTGATTCTCGTCACAGATGATGTTTTTATCACGATGGTCTACTGAAATCATTGATGACACTGCCTCATGGCAATCAGCTGATGTGACAATAGTTAATGAATCCCCAAAGTAAAGAGAACCTCGAACGTTTTCAGTGACTGACCAGAATTATATATGACTTCAGCTATTGGTTTTTAAATCGTCTGTCCTAGTCATGCTACATTCCATGAGTTTGGTACGAGTTAAAAAAATTCATGATTTACCTCTGTTCTATAATTTGTACAAGGTAGATTTATGGTAGACCTGGAGATAAAATCTTTGCAAAAACCACATTGAAGGCCCTCTTTTAGGCCCTCTGGTTTTAACCTGTGCAGCTATTGATTTCATAATGGCATAGAATTCATGAAGTATTCTTTTCCTTTTCACAGACAGAAAGGTCTTTCCAGAAACAGAAGAATGTATTCTTGAATAAGAAACAGAGTTTACTGTCGGGCAAAGGCAAAAAGAACCTACGATTTGTCAAGTCGATTGGTCTCGGATTCAAAACACCCCGAGAGGTAGGTATGAATAAAAACTTCAATTTTCATTGAAAATCATGTCTTTTTATTAACATGTACAATGTTGTTTTTCTTCTCGAGAGTTTTATATAATTTCCTACACAGAGACAACACCTGTTGAGAACAATCATTAGGTGTGAAAAATAGTCAACTGTTTGTTGATTAGATATTGTGTATACATTTACATTTCATTTGCAAGGTACCATGTAAACTTATGCTATGAAATTTGGTAAACTCTACAGCCTTAAAATTAGGTACACATTTCTTGATTGTTTGCTGACAAATTTTTTGGTCACCTGACCCAGAGTTTTTTTAAGCCAATGAAACACTAAAAAAAAACTAAACAATAACAATAAAAAATTGTTGATTGATATAACCAGAAGATAAAAACCCTAAAATAAAGGAATGGCATGGTCCTTTTTTTAGATATTAACTGGGTTTTTTCATAGGATGCCTCAATAATTTTTTCTGTTCTTAAACTAAAATAGGACACAATTAATTAACCTTTCTGAGGAACACAGGACATGCTATTCTGTATATATGTTTATAACAAAGAGTATCTATGAAGTTCTTTTTGTCATACCTCTTGAGAGTTGGAAACAAGCTCCCTTTAAAAAAAACAACTGCTTTGAAATAAACTATATCATATTTGTAATAAAACAGTTACAACGCCAGGCGTGTGTAGCTAGAACATTGTTTGTCACAGATGATGTTTTTATCACGATGGTCTACTGAACTCCTTGATGACACTGCCTCATGGCACTTGGCTGATGTGACATTACATACTTATCCACTTGCTCTTTCATTCATACATTAAACTTCTAAATTTATTTATTGTTTTTTTTTTCAATTACTACAAGAGTATTAAATGTTGAAAAATTGTGTATTACGTGCTCAAACCAGTCAGTACAGGAGTTGTATGACTGATAAAGTGTTAGGTGTATTTATGTGTAGCTCTGACATTGGAAATGTTTTGTTTGTCACCAACAATTTTATCACCATGGTTTACTAAAATCATTGATGCTACTGCCTCAGTAGGTTTCAGATTTGACAGTGCAGAATTTACTTACACCTTTATTGATTTCAAACATAAAACTTTTGTAAACCAGAGTAAATGTTAATTTGTTAAACAAGAGTAAATGTTAATTTGTTAAACCAGAGTATATGTTAATTTGTTAAACCAGAGTATATGTTAATTTGTTAAACCAGAGTATAAATGTTAATTATGTTAAACCAGAGTAAATGTTAATTTGTTACACCAGAGTATATGTTAATTTGTTAAAACAGAGTATATGTTAATTTGTTAAACCAGAGTATATGTTAATTTGTTAAAACAGAATAAATGTTAATTTGTTAAACAAGAGTAAATGTTAATTTGTTACACCAGAGTATATGTTAACTTCTTGTATGTCACAGATGATGTTTTTATCACGATGGTCTACTGAACTCCTTGTTGACACTGCCTCATGGCACTTGGCTGATGTGACATACTTATTCATTAACTCTTTGATTCATACATGAAACTTCCATGAAAATGACATTTAAATTCATTTATTGTTTTTTTTTCTCTAATTACTACAAGAGTATTAAATGTTGAAAATCTGCTGAAGTATAATAGGTTTGACCTGGCACAACCTGCTATAAAATATTTTTGAGAATCGCTGTTTTGGTCGGGAGTACTCCATAACTTTCATTTGGTCATTTACTTCACTTGTGTATGAAAGTCATATGTTAGTTACTACGACTTTATATAGATAGAAAGATCTGTTAAAGACTTTCTGTTTTACATATAGAGGTGACCTTTCTTTTAATATATTTTACTTAATAAAAAACACCAAATAAATTCCCCAAAATACATGTATTTCATGCTCAAACCAGTCAGTACAGGAGGTGTATGACTGATAAAGTGTTATGTGTATTTATGTGTAGCTATGACATTGGAAATGTTTTGTTTGTCACCAACAATTTTATCACCATGGTTTACTAAAATCATTGATGCTACTGCCTCAGTAGGTTTCAGATTTGACAGTGCAGAATTTACTTACACCTATATTGATTTCAAGCATAAAACTTTAGTAAACCAGAGTTAATGTTAATTAGTTAAACCAGAATAAATGTTAATTTGTTAAACCAGAGTATATGTTAATTTGTTAAACCAGAGTATATGTTAATTTGTTACACCAGAGTATATGTTAATTTGTTAAACCAGAATATATGTTAATTAGTTACACCAGAGTATATGTTAACTAGTTAAACCAGAGTTAATGTTAATTAGTTAAACCAGAATAAATGTTAATTTGTTAAACCAGAGTATATGTTAATTTGTTAAACCAGAGTAAATGTTAATTAGTTAAACCAGAGTATATGTTAACTTCTTGTATGTCACAGATGATGTTTTTATCACGATGGTCTACTGAAATCATTGATGACACTGCCTCATGGCACTTGGCTGATGTGACATTCCTGATATATCATTACTAATAATAATTGTGAAAGAAGTTGGATCAACCAATAAAGATCATTCTTGTCGGCCAGGTTGAGAAAGGGCAAGGGTATTCTTGGTTAATTTCTGTGAGCAGAAAATTGTTGCCTTTTTTCCACTAATTTGGGATAAAGCCTATTTACCCAGTGGGGGAAAGGTGGAAGGAGTGATTATTGGGAATGAAACTTTACAGGGGAATAAAATTTATATTTTGGAAGTTTGCCTGTGTAATGTTTTTAGGTAACCTGTGTCATTACATCAGAAATGATTTAAAAGCAAGTCATATAATAGTTGTTTTGACCGGGAGTTGTAGAGATAACCAGTGTTGTATAGATGTTATGGAGATGAATTCCATATAAATTTTTTAATTACAGGCTTATGATGCTGCCTACATTGACAAGAAGTGTCCTTTCACTGGTAATGTGAGTATCAGAGGACGGATTCTCACTGGAGTGGTGATGAAGATGAAGATGCAGCGGACCATCGTAATCCGTAGGGATTATCTCCACTATGTGAAGAAGTACAACAGATTTGAGAAGCGACACAAGAACATGTCTGTTCATATCAGTCCATGTTTCAGGTAAGTCGTACAAGCTCGGATATAGAAATAAATTTTTTAAGCCTGATGTCCATGACTTCCTGACTCATGGCTACAGATGGTGAAGTTCAGGCATATACTGGTAAGTCCAGGACTTATCTTATTATGTTTCATACTGTTGATGCCTCTACAGTGTTTAGTACCCTATACATTACATACCCTGTTATGTATTATCACACATAACACTTCTTAGAACTCTTCAATGTCATTTTAACTACATTGCTTGCGATGGGACTGAAAATCACCACTGAATACTGGAGAGCAGTCTTTGAATGTTTTTTGGTCCATATGTTAATTATGTATTGAGAATATTTGCATAATTTTTTATATTCATTAAGTTTTCATAACTTAATTTCTTCACATATTCGTTTCTTCATAATCAATTCCAGCATCATGATTTGTAATGTTTACATTAAATATCCCACTGGTTCCCATAGAAGTGTTTTCATACTTTACTGGCACAGTTTCCTCTAGACAGGAGCTTAGCTCTAGTAGGATTTTGAATCTTTCTTCACAGCAATATTTTGACTTCACTTTGAATTTCTGACAAATATCGGGTTAACAACAATTATTCACAACTATATATAATATCTAGGTTGGTGCTAGGTTAACTTCATGAAGTTCTTTTTATTTGACAAATTAGGCATGGGTGACAACAAAATCCTGATATTTCTAATTTTTTATTTATTTATAATCAAGCTTTTAAATTCACTATCAAGTGCTTTGCATTTAAAAATAATAAAATGATTTTCAGTTTTTTTTTTAATTCACCATTAGTGATTGGAAATAGGTTAAAAAATACAATAAACAATTTTCAGTTATAATTGCATAGGCTCTCAGATGTAGTTAATTGATTACATAATAGACTGCCTTTGTGTTCAATATTCAGAGGGAGTGAATGCACTCTTCATTATAGTAACATTTTCTGTTTGTTTTTTGTTTTTTTTTGGTAATAATAACCAAAAATACCTTTGACTTGTGTAAGAATGAATAATATTGGCAGTTGGCATACTTTTTGTACATTAGATGTATTTTTTGCTTTGCTTAAACACAAGCAAACATAAAGGTGATGACGATGTAATATTGAAATATATGACTGATCATCACATTAAATGAGGTTAATCAATTAGATTATGTAACTGATCTTCGTCCCATCCCAACACACCACCACTATACACTGATGTCTCTGATAACAATCCATATGGCACTTCTCTGATGCAGAGCTCTATGTATTCATAAGTACAGGGTTTGAAAAATGAAAATGTAAAGTGAATCTTTTTTAAAACTTTAGGATGTAATTTTTAAAAATCTTGATTCCTGATTTGAGAGTAACAAGAAAAAAAGGATAGAGGATTGGAACTTCAATTCAAAATTTAGAAAAATATGATGTACAAATTCTCCGAATATATCTGACAAAATCTGTAGTAAATATCATTTATATAAGTGTATGATTGCTTACTATGTTACAGAGATGTTGCCCTGGGAGATGTAGTGACAGTTGGAGAGTGCCGACCCCTCAGCAAGACTGTGCGCTACAATGTCCTCAAGGTCAGCAAGGGTGCAGGCTCAAAGAAGGGCTTCTCCAAATTCTAAATGTACAGCCAATAAAAAAAAATACCAAGAAAAGAGTAGTTCTATTTTGTTTTGATCAGCTCGGCATGAAGTCCTGATATTGTCTTGTGTTAAGGTTTGTTCACTCATTAATGTTCTGTCTGAAAATAAGGTAATTTCAACTGTTCTCTTGAAGGATTGAAATTTTTTTTTTCAAACTTGTCGGACTTGCCCAAGAAGTGAATTAAACCCCCCCAATACCATTAATAAGGCCATGGGGCTTTTGTTCTTGAGAATGTTGAGATCTGGATCGAATAGAGGAATTTGCAATCAATCCTATTTCAAACAGGTTATCAGTTTTTATATAAGGAAATATACATCTCTTTCACAAGGTGAGGGATAACAGAAACCAACCTCTCCACCATTAAAATGAGAGCACTGGTTCTTAATCGTGGATCTATGAATCGTAAATATAAAACAAGTAATGCAGTCTTTCTTGACTTCTATGTAGGAATTGGGGCCATTTTACAATTATAGTTCAGATAGCAGAGGAATCCTTGGCCCCAACTTTGATTAATTTCAAAATAACTGAAATTAAAATTGGAATTTTGATGAAACATGTAGTGGTCTGGCATTATTTATTATTAATTTTTAGTCCACCATTATCAGATGGTGGGCCTTTCAAATCACCACATGTCCGTTGTTCTTCAAACAATTTTCATTATCGCTAATATTTGAGATGTAAATGGATCTCAAATTTCATATATAGGTTTTTCTTGGTCCCTGGTTGTGCCGTTTCATTTTTGGGACTGATGTAAGAAACAAAATGGCTGACAGGTGACCATCTTGGATTTTTTCAATGACGTTTGCTATCTCTTTCCTGAGAAGTACACGTATGGCATTGTGGGATCTAGTTTTAAACCAATTTCTCATTTTAGGACATGATATTAGAAGGGAGTTTATTACCCTTAGATTTTGGACATGTTTGCGCAAAGATCCCCGTCCCTTATTTTCACTAATTTCTCTGAAACTTGGCGGGTTTTATAACCTTGTAATAAAATTGTTTTTCGTTCATGGCTTAATGATTTTGGTAAAGCCCACTTCTTTGTAAATCAATTTAAGTTCACTAGACCATTGGTCATAGTGACTTTTAGTGAATCGTTCTTTGTGAGTGGTCATGCGTTAAATTTTCAACTGAACATGATAAGTACATCTGCGAGGATTTTGATGGAACTTGAGCGCCCTAATGATCTGCATAGAATTCGGAAATGGGACCGATTCGATAGTTATTTACATAGTTATGGTCCTTTGAAGTTATATTTCAATAAGACACCCGAATTTTAATGAAAATTGATCTGCAGCCTTGTATCAATAAGACAATGGGACCGATTCGATAGTTAATTGAGAGTTATGGCCATTTTCAGTTTTATTTTCACGATTGACATATTTTTTTTTTGACATTCTTAAGTAATAAGAAATTTATTGACCACGTTCATCGTATATACCCATCAGAATTGGAGATAAAAGACACGACGGACTCTCCTACATTAGCAGGTTATCTCGATCTTTTACAATGAAACATGGACGCTTTCCGCCTAGATGTATGATGAAGCTGACGACTTCAAGTTCCCTATTGTGAATTTACCATTTCTGGATAACAATATCTTTACATCCCCAACCTTTGGTATATACATGTCACAGTTGATTCGATATCCAGGGACCTGTTCCCATTATCCCGATTTTGGGAGGTTGATGAAAGTTATTGGAAAGTTTTACGGTCGTTAATTGAAGCTGAACGTGTTAGATGCTAGTTTGCTTGCCTGTTGACTCCGTTGTTGTATACCTTTTTTCTCATTTAGGACCGGGACAAGGTTTTCAAAGTTGACGATGCTCACACTTCCGGAACACCTGGTCTTATTCTCCTTTTTCGTGTGTTGACATTTTTATTTTAGGAAAATTGGTATGCAGACTTGTATCAATAAGATGCAGGCAATGGAACCGATTCTCTATACAGTTAAAGAGTTTTGGCTCTTTGCAGTTTATTTTCAATTGACCTTGTGAATAAGGAACATGGATTTTGATGAAACTTGGCATGCAGCCTTATATTAGAAAGGTCTCAAAGGAGTTTGAAAATGGGACCGATTCGATAATTACTTGAAGAATTTCGGCCTCTTTTTTTAGTTTATTTCCGTTTGGCCTCGTTTACTAGGTATGCTAATTGAATGATTGGGTTGGAAACTAGATTGAAATCACGGAAGCCATGATAACATCTACAAGATTTCAGAGACAATTTTGATATTGATTGATTAAAAACTAGTGCATTGGTTGATCGGGGAATAGTCGGACTCGGCTTATTGGTTGTTGGCCCTGGACCAAATAGCGGATATCGACAATAGTGTATCTGTTGAATGAATGACTTGAAAAAATGAATTAAAGAAAATTGTTCGTTCTCTGTATTGTATGCTTCGTGTCCAATACCGTTAAAACTGAAATAACGAACCCGTTTATACTACAATAGAAGTTCCTCAATACAGTGCCGTCGTTTATTATAATTCGTGGTTGTCCATTTTAACTGACGTAAAACTGTCACGAATACACTGTACTGCAATAGTATATCCATTGACGGAGAATTCTGTTCCGAAAAAAGGTTCCGTCGCTGTCTCTGGATTTTCATGTGTTTATTTGTTTGTATAGTGGAGTTGATAAATGTTTGTTGTTAAACTAAGGGGATGCATGTGTCGGTGCTAAGAAATTAGATTTTACTTAGTCAAAGCAGCCATACCTCCTGTAAAACATTTGGACAGCAAGCCCCCTTGCAATATGCACATCTGCACAATGTGGTCTTTCTTTGTGCCAAGCTTAATAAAATCCTCCTCCTAAGGGTTTACGAGGAGATGGAAAGACAAAATATTTTGTATAGAAAAATCAAAGTCCAAGGCCCATAACTCCTTTTTGAAAAAAAAATTTACAGCACCCCCTTGCATTATACATATTGTGGTCTGTCATCATAACAAATTTCATTAATATCCTCCGATGGGTTTAGGAGGAGTTGCGAAGACAATGTTAAGTGAGGAGATGCGACGGGTGGGGGTGCGGGTGGATGGATCGGGAAATACAGTAATAGTAATTCTAAAGCACACTGCTCCATAGATTACCATCATATACTCTTTGAACACTCGCGAAGATAAATATGAAAATAGGCGAGTTACTTATGATACTATGTATATGTATTTTTCATTGCCAAAATCGACTGAAATGAAGGAGTAGAACTTTTTAATTAACCGATAACTTCGCCTGTCACTAGGAACAAACTCCAGATGTATTTATAATTTTGTCTCTGTATCATGTATATTCTTTTATTTCATCAGCGCGTTACACTTCCACGTGAAAAAATAAAAACATTGTTGATTAATTCTACAATATGGCACCGAGCTTGACATAAACCGAGTCAGCTTTTGTCCTGTCGGCAAATAAGGAGAGACAAACAACTAGAGAATGGTATATTACTATTTTGCCTCAATATCACCGATTAGCAAGAAAAACAACACCGAAAAGACGATAATGACACTAAAAGGGTTATATCAGTATCCAGCATCATAGTGCCTCCAGGCTGTTAACATCCATGTCATATACCTATTGTAGTGAACGGGTTGCGTTAGGTCAGTGTTAATGAAGTACCTATGACACCTGGTAGGCTTTCCCGTGCAATATTGATAAACAGTGGTAAGTATACACATAGGTAAATCTTGAAAGGTTGACTAAATTAGTATCAATTTAGACTCTTAGCAACTGATACTAACCATGTATTACATATTATGAAAACAACATCCATCATTGTTTCCAGGAAAAATGGTGATGACATTGATAGAAAAATAGCTGAAATTCATAAATTCGTTATAAACGCTGTGCAATGGATGTAATGGTGTATATATATTGATCCAAGTGGCTTTAAATATTGAATCAATCTTCACATACCAGTTTATATCGTTTTGCTTGGGGCTACGACCGTTAAAAAATTACTGTCGGAATATTTTCAGTTATAAATTCTGGGTTCCAGCTGATTGCCAGTATTATGAGTAATTCTGATGACACCGACACGCATTTGTTCTCGTATGGCTGTAAAATACAGGGAAAATGCTGTCGTCCTCTTTTAGTTTGTATATAGAAGTACTTTAATCCGAGGGTTCTCTGTTGACCGAGGGTCTTCGGGTTTTATCCTTATCACGACACACATCCCTAGTTGTTACCACTCATTTCGTAAATGAAAGGTTTTGTGATGATATTTTTAGCATTTTTCTGTACCTGATACACTTGTCTTGAAAGACGTGTCAGAAGCAGATTGGATTTCGTAACCTGATCACGGTTGTTTGGTATCCGTGTCTTCACTGTCACCTGTGATAATGTTCAACGTCTTTGTTATATCATTGGAATTTTTGTATATAGTGGAGTCGGTCATCCTAGCACGAACAACCTTTCACAGGATGGGATATCTCCACGCTCCTTGACGAAATCTATCATCCTAACACCTGCAGCCTTTTCACAGGATGGGATGTCGCCACGCTCCTTGACGAAGTCTGTCATTCTAACACCAGCAGTCGTTCATAGGGTGAGACATCTTCAAGTTCGATTGCGAAGTCGGTCATTCGGATACCAACGACCTTACTTAAATTGTACATTCTCCCATTACAAGTCCCTCGACAAATTTTATTGCTATCCTTCAAGTGCGTTCTTTACAGCCCTATTGTTTTCAAGATGTGATTATACATCTTCAGCTGATGTTCGACGAATAAGGCACAACTCGTAACACAAAGTTTCAAAGGATGCAATTAGATGAAAATTATAACGAAGTTTTACGATCGGTCGCCATAGTGATCTCTTTGAGAATGGTCCTATTTCTTTTGTGAGATATGAAGCTTTACATGTTTGATGCTCGTAAGTTTGCCTGTTAGTTTCGTTGTTGTATACCTTGAACTCATTTGAGAACGTGACATTACTTACTTGAACTTGATTGAATAATGTCTCTTGAAGCCTCTCTTTCATTCAAAAATGTCCGTCGAAGTCCACTATCAACACTCTAGTGTTGTCAACCCAGATCTATCGGTTAAAGGTTGGTAGAATGTCAGTAACTAAAATGATGTTAGCTTTCTGTAGCCGGAAGTTGGAGTTCAATGGTATTGCTTCTATTGTTCAGTTATAACACTTTATGTCTTAAGAACCGTCTTGTTTTATGTTTGCGATGAATCTGTTTATTTACCCCTCCTCGCAGTTTAACTTAACCCACCCGGTTCTTTATTTTGTTTAAGAATTTCATGGTTTAAGGGTCCTTCTCTCCCTCACTGACTTCCCATTTTTCGTATCCCTAGATAGTTTATCTATTTCTTGAAGATTTTTTCCCGAAATTTTAGCAACATCGTATTATTCCTCCTCCAATGAGGCGTTATTCGTATTTTTCAACTTCGCTTTCCAAGGTCACCTCACCTTGCTAATTTTTATTGAAGTTCCACTCTATACACTTTTCAACCTCTGCTTGAGTCATAGTTTTAAATCCGAGGGATAGCATTTTTAGACTTTCGGGATTTACAACCTCATTTGAAGTTGTTTGGCTCGATCCCTGGACGGTTAATGTTTTCCAAGAAGCTTATACATGTGTCCATGGGCATGTCACTTTACAAACAAAAGCGTGGAGAGTCTCAGGAAAGCATGAGGTATGCTTCCTCCATGATGGCCAAAGAGGTAAAACCGATAGGTTCTACAAAATTACCCCAGCAGTTCAAATAACGATAATTCCAGTAAACAAACAGCATTGTGAATATATAAATGAATAGTTCCCTTTTTGACATTAACCATCATTTAAATAAAACATTCTCACCCAAATACCACAACTGCAGGTTGTGGTTAACCAGAATTTGCAATAGTAAAACATACGTTCAATCGTCAACTAACACTTGTCAGCCTATCAGGATAGATCAAAACGTAAGCCTGAAATAGATTCTAGTGCAGAGGTCTTAACTCTACACGATTATTGATTTATTTACTACTTACCTACCGACAAATCACCGTATTTGATTTACGTTTCCAGAACAGCTATCTTGAAATATTTGTACAGGAGAAGTGATCTTGTATTTGATAATATTTGTATAACACATTGGCAAATTTTTAGAGGTAAAAAAGAAATACTGTTTATTGATTCTATGATACTCACTTTCAGGTGCTACAAGACAATCGTCAGAGAAACGATGGACACTGACCATAGTTCCGTATCACTGACTGACCAACTACTTTGGTGTAAGTGCTCATTAGAGTTTTGATGGTCTTTCTTCACCAAAATTAGACGATCGATTTTCCCCTAACGACCACTAGTAGACGTAAGGTGTCTGCGCGTGCAGACTACTGTTGTGGAACATTATAAGCCTGGTTGGTTGAACTCCACGATGCAAAGTGCTTTGTATTAGATAAACTTGCTAAAATATGGTGACTATTGGTGTGGCTATAGTTCCTGCGGTGAGCAAAAACGTTAATTTCTTGTCGATATCAACTTCTCCGTGAAGACAAACTTGATAACCACTGGTACTTACTTGATTAGGATGGCTGTGTATTAGGAGATTTGATTGATTATTCTAGAATCATTATTGATAAACACCAATGGAATTCACGGCTGAACAAATCTTTTTGGTCTAATCCAAAACATCACCAGGTATGTTTAAACCAGTGCTCGTCGTCATTCCGATCTGTACACAGTGTTGGACATACTCCCAAAGGAAAACGCTCAAGGGCAATGGACAAGCGAGGCTGTACTCAAGGACCTTCTATCCAATCTTCATTTCTTAAACAGGAAATGTAGTGTGTTGAATCCTGGATTATAATTTGTATGGTATTTAGGATGGGATACATTTAGACAGTAACCAGTGTTCTTTATGAAGACAGTGAAATAATGGAATACAGCACGTGAATACAGCACCTGAATACAGCACATGAATACAGCACATGAATACAGCACGTATTCATTGTAGGTGTTTGCATTGATTATGATATAATATGTCAAGACGATAGAAAAAATCTCGGTATTGACAAGAACAATGGAATATCGATACCAGGAGTAACTGATCAATTTTGTTCAACGATCTATTTTCATTTCATTTAATATATATATATAAATATATAACTGATCAATATGATTATGATCATAAACGTTGCAAGAAATGTGACCTTACTCTGGTGACTAGCGTTTCTCGACGATCGAGAATGTGTGGGTTATATACGGGAGGGTTGACCACGGGAGCAATTTCCGTTTTGGTAGATTTGTTCTTGACCACTGTTCCTGTCTTGGACGCGGCGGAGACTAACACAACAACTGTAAACAAGCGTCATGTACCAACCATCCTGGAGATCTTTGTACCATGTTACACTGTTCTTGCTGCAGCCATTTTGTGTAAGTCGGTGATATTGGATTAATTGATAATTTTATTAGTATAAGGTTAAATCGTTTTTATGTCATACATTTGTTTTGTTTGTGTCATACATTTGTTTTGTTTGTGTCATACATTTGTTTTGTTTGTGTTATATATTAGTTTTGTTTGTGTTATATATTAGTTTTGTTTGTGTTATATATTAGTTTTGTTTGTGTTATATATTAGTTTTGTTTGTGTTATATATTAGTTTTGTTTGTGTTATATATTTGTTTTGTTTGTGTTATACATTTGTTTTGTTTGTGTTATATCTTAGTTTTGTTTGTGTTATATATTAGTTTTGTTTGTGTTATATATTTGTTTTGTTTGTGTTATATATTAGTTTTGTTTGTGTTATATATTAGTTTTGTTTGTGTTATATCTTAGTTTTGTTTGTGTTATATCTTAGTTTTGTTTGTGTTATATATTTGTTTTGTTTGTGTTGACAATGGTACAGATTTGATGGTGTCCATGGTGAATTAAGAACTTGAAACTTTGAATGATGCTAGTATACATTGGCTTACAATGTTAGTAAAATGAGATATTGTTTAGTTGAAACATGAAAATAATAAAACTTTTATCAGAGTTCATATATAAAACCTACCCCGCCCATTTTCCTTTATCGATATTCACGTACCATGTGCCTCTTATTGTTATACGAATGCTAACTACTACTGTGAATTCCCATGAGAGTCAATACACAATTATATATTATTGTCAAAATGGAGGCTCTGTGAAGTAATTATAAAATCGATTTCATTCTAAAACATTGAAAGATGTAAATATAGGTCGATTCCAAACTTATCCAGAAATCAAATAGGCGATTTGAAATCCAATGTGCAAACGAAACAATTGTCAATATCTTACGTTGCTTGTGTCAGGTTCACGTTCAATGATTTGTTTAAGTATATAGTGAATTTCTCATTTACATTGGAAAGTCCTGCTTTCATGCCCCAATATCTCAGAATAATGGTCAGTATTAAAGTATGGACCTGCTTAGTTTATAAATGAATCATAAACTTGTACAAGAGACACAGAAAAGAATATCTTGACATGATTTGATTAAGTTTATGCCAAATCATCAAATGAACTGTACCATACCACTGTCTCGTTATTGATATTAGTAGCTTAAATGTAGCAAGTAAAGTAGAAAAGGGGTTTATACATCTCTCCGAAATGCTAACTTAATCGAGTCACTCGAGACAGAGGCTCAGGGTGACCTAATGCAATCCCCTTTTGTTCGGCGTTGGGCGTCGAAAACTTTTGAAATTTTACAAAAACCTTCCATGGCTAAAGGCTCACCACAATTTTAAATCATATGGTCTCCAACTCCCAGGGGCCTAAAAATGTGTAAAATTGATTGAAACTTCTAAAATCTTCTCCAATCCAAGGCATTGTAGAGTCAAGTACTCTGCATGGTTAGAAAGGTCTTGTAAGAAAACTTGTAAATTTCATGACCGAAAGGTCTCATATATCTCCCTGGAGAGGGAGTAAAGTTTACTGTAGTCTATTTAGGAAAATTACACATTTGAACATTTTTTAGTTACACTCTATCGGAAATAGTTCAAACCTGATTAGAATTATTAGTTTAAGATGACAGTTAATGAGATGCACATATTGACCTCGGTTTACCCCCAGGGGCTGTGTGGCCGGACCACAATTGGGTAAAACTGACTGAAATTTCAAAAATCTTCTTCTCAATACCCTGATAATAGAGAAACTAATACTCTTCATGGATGGAAGTGTTTTACGGTACTTTATAAAAAATGTTAATTTGGGAGGGGATAAAATTTACTATATTTCACATAGGAAAATTACATTTTTGAGCATAATTTTTTTTTCAGAAATAGTTTAAACGTGGTTAGAATTTTTAAAAATATGTATAAGCTGACAGTTTGATGAGATACACATATTGACGTCGACTGACCACCAGGGAACGTTGGGCGGGGCCAAAAATGAGTTAAAATGACTGAAATTTCAAAGATGTTCTACAGTTCCTGAATGGAAGATTTTATATCGAAAATTTCAAATCTTGAGTGAAATTTCTTTTCATTCAAATTTGGTTACAAGCCTTAGCTTGAGACATCAGTTAAGATATACACAATTTACATTTGCATTATATGTATAAAATAGAAAATCATTTCTATAAAACAGAAGAAGATATACTCTTCTTTCATTGGTACATATTTTTTTTATTATGATTATGTTATCATGTTGATTTTTCTTATAACAAGCAGCATTGTGACTTAGGTGACCGTTAAGGCCGTTTGTTATATTATATACTACCATGCTCCAACTAAACTGAAAAGGAACCGAAGCGCTTTCTTTGTATTGAAGTCTCCTTTCCCAATACAAACAGGGTTTGAAACTAATGGTCTCTTTTGAAACTTTTGTTGTGAAAGATGACAGCGTCAAAATGTCGACAATATCATTATTAACGTTGGTGACAAGTAACAACTGCCCTCGTTTTAGAGAACTTATTTAATTTTCATGCCATTTCATTGTTATAGACATGTGTTCTGACGTAGTAAGGTCAAATAGGAGAACACGCTGACTCTCCAAAACAGCCGCTCTACCTTTCCTAGGGTTTCCATGTTTACCTATTTTTTCGTATTTTGACTTCATTTCATTTTGATTCAAAATTTTGTTGGCATATGTTTTTTACCATATGATGATCGGTAACTTCTTTCTAAAGAAATGAATGTTCAGCGTCACGATTTCACTCAAGCAATTCTAAACTTCATAGAGTTAACTATCCTTGCTCCTTCCAATGACCTGAATGTAAATATCAAGTTCTTGTCATATGAATCATTTTTAAATTAACAAAATAATGACAGCTACAATTAGTGGTTAAACTAGGGATTTCAATTCGATAGAAATAACTATTCGAATACTCATCTGATTCAATATTCGTTTCAACATGGTACGAAACTTTCAGAAAGCAGTCGTTTACTCACCGTTTATCAATACAGAACATTACCTAAAGCAGAACCAAGAAACAGACTTAATCAAAATGGGGAGGAGTATTGATATACATTGATCAAGTTTTATCATGCTAAATTGATTTAAAAATCACAGATTAATTGATTAAGAACATCTACAGAAATTCCTTGTATGCTTTGTGTATGGTTGAATCATGATTTTGTGTTAATGGGTGACTTTAATGTTGATGTAACAAAATAAAAACAAACCTCTCAGTATCTAATTCAGTCACGAAACCAACTAGAGTCACTGATACACCATCAAGGGACACTGCTGCACAGCCTTATTGATATAAAACAAATATCATATGTGCGTAATACACTGTAGGACATTAAATAATTATCTCCAGAATATTTATAAGAATGCTTCAGTGCTTAAAAGAAGTTATATCTTCATGGGTTGAAATCAACGACACAAAACAAATAAATCTTACCAAGAATAAGTTGTATGTTTTTTTTAAAGAGTGGGTTTAAATCCTTTCAATTTACGGGAGAAGCGTTATGACACAACTTACCGACTGTTTTTAAAATGTGCCCTAAACATTTGTCTTCAAAAATAATCTCAAAAAATATCCTTTATCGATGTACGTATTTTTCTGACATTTTGCAAAATCAATTTACAATCGCACAGGCAAATACATTTTCTACGTTTTAGTGAAAACATTTTGCTTTTTACTGTAAGGAAACTGTGAGATTTATATATTAATTTATGAAAATATCTGATTAGTCAGTTATTGTGTTGTCATGTACATGTATATGCCATACGTATGTATTATATTTAGTTAAATATAATGGAATATTGACAATTTTCAAGGTTTAGCATGCACGTTAGCTTTAAGATATTATCGTCCTGAAAATGCGATAAATGTTTCCTCCATGTAACTGGTGAGGGCTACATGTAAGATACGTACTGTGTTATAAATAGAACTCTCGTTAAGTCTTTTTTTTATCGAATGTACTTTTTTATAATTGGAGAAATGTGTCATTGAATTGAAGGTTTTATACATCTTCATGATTACAATGGAGATTTTCGTATCTACATATGTCCTTTTTCCTGAATATTTTTCAGTCCTTTTATTAATACTTTTTGTCTCGACGCGCAATGTGAACTCTGGAAATCGCCGGAAGTCACGAGTGAATGCGGAACGATGGGAAATGGCGGTAGTGACTGACGTTGGTCTTTCCATCATAAACCACGCTACCAGAATAGCCTTCGATGACGTGCCTGTCACAAACAAGAAAGTTGCACGAGGTTTCATAGGAGACTTTGACAAGGAGGTTCTATATAAACTACGGTCGTTGCACATCCAGCCGGGCGAGATTATCCGGATCTGTTTGCCCGCCATCTCTACAATGGTCGTTGGACCATTGCTAATGCTAGGTTATTATGAGATCATTGAATTTTTCTGGTCGACGGATGATTACCCTGTGTTGCCAAACATTAACCAGTGTGTCGCCTGTTTTCTTACCCCTGCTGGGTTGGTATATGCCATCTCTTTCGGATTCGCTTTCCAGCAGGCCATCAATAAACAATGTGATATATTAGAAAAAATGACAACCGAAATCAGTTATCTTGACCAGGCGGCCACATTGACCAGCAAACTTAAACTACGGTCACCTGCTGTTAAGGTGGAGATGTACCGAGCTCTGAAAGCTGAAGCACTGTACATGATTCTCCAAGTGCAGAAAGGCGACATGACAAAATACAGACATCGTCCGAAGGAAGATATTAAAGGTAAATATGTGTCGTTGGTCCAACTTCATTCCTCTAGAGTACACCAATGGATTCTAAGGTAACGAAACAATACACTGTAACTCCTGTTCATTAATTGGTAATTAATATATGATATAAAATAGCGTCGTTGTTCCTTACATTGATGCTGACTGGCGGCTGTGAATGATACATTTTTTTGGGAAGGTATTCGTTAATGAATCCGAAACGGTTGAATTGTATTCAGTTTATATAACGTTACAAATATATAGCATTTTCACTCCTATTTTTCTGTGATGTAGTCTAACAACAATCGGGAAGGTACGACCTCTGTAGGCTTTTCGTTATACGGTATTATAATATGAGAAATAAGTCATGTTAATTTATAAATAATACATTTTTCTTAATCGATGAAATCTGATATTATTTGATTTCAGTTGAGATTTGGCACATCATTGATCACCTTCAGGTTCTGACCAGTACCCCACATCATTATGTGGACGTGTTGATGAGTCAGAAAATCATGGAGTACGTCACAGCCCTCAACAGTGTCTGCTCGGACCAACTCGGCATTCTTCACTCAAAGATACATTGGCTGAAGTTAGTACCTCTAACTGTAATTTACAATATAGTATTTAACTTATTTTTGTTTCTTTAACTTTCATAATATTTGTACTTCGTACTGAGATAAATTTATTTCAATTAATCAATTTATTTAGGCGTCAATCATCTAACTACAAATATATATAAATGAAAAGATAAATCTCCTGCTTAAAAGATATGCCCAGTCAACTATAATTTAATCTTACACTATTTTATACTATGTTTAGTCTCAAATATTGTACACCAAAACATGAGTAAGTCTATTCTATGCTGTTAAATATAGGTAAGTAGTCACTCTCTGTTATATATTTTAAAAGCCAACAAAACTCCTCTATCTCTGCCTTGCATCAAACTGGTTAGATAAAATGCTGTGTGGAGAATGATCTACGATGTATTTGTACTGATTGAAATGATCAATTCTGAGCAAATCTTCATAAAATCACATTTTATTAAGAATATGAAAATGGACTTCATCTTCACCTTAATTTGATTTTCATTGGCATGTCACCCATTTTCGACATTTTTGACCCACACGCAACATAAAAAACTCTCAATCTGTATTTAATACTTTTAAACTAATCACTATTGTCAGCTCAGACTTGTATTTCCATCTTCACGAAATTGTGCCATCTATCGACATCAACATGTCAAAACTTTTTCTTTGTCATATTCTATAATACCGATCTTCGTGTCATCAATTTATCAATCACTCGATTCTTCAATATCATTTTTATTGATTTATCTATTTGTACTCGTGAGTCTGAAAAATTACGGAGAGATTAGTATCAGTGATGAATTTTACTGATTACTCTGTCATTGTTTGTGATCATCAATCTTTAATCTTTAGCCTGTTTCGTATAAGATTAACTCTTTGAGTTGCTCAACGGTGTTGCCTAATCGAGACGCGCGAGTCATGTGCACACGACTTGTTGTTTTCACTATCTTAACCACCTACTCATGCCAGACAGAAATCAAACCAACCATGCCTGAAAACATACTGCTATACTAAAGCTATTGGAGTTGTGTATTAATAGTATATGTTTTATCGTGTGGTTCAATGTCTTATGCTGCCCGTTCGTCTTCTATGTATCGTACTGTTAACCTCACATTTTACACTGAAATGACAGCTGTATCAGATACTGTCTTTGTTACTAGAAGTTTTACATTTCTTGTTCCACATTGGACTGTCTGATATGTCATGAAAATTACACGACTCGAGGTCTGCAAGTGCATTGTGGGAACGATACTACTGACGCTAAAGCACGATTACAGCTCACGTGATCCAGTCACTCGCCCTATTGGGAGACGCTTTATTTGATAGCTTTGGTGCATTTAATCTCAGTGCGGACACCTTTTGTAATCATTCGCTATAGATAGAACATGCATGACTTATGAACCCAAGACTTCCGAACCAAAAACTTCTTAACCAAGCCCTCCGAAATCAATATTTCCGAACCCGTGACCAATGTCCAAAAGACTTCAGAACCAAAATATCCTAAGTTCAAGATTTCAAACTCAAGCCTTCCAAACCCAGCATGCCAAAGTGTTGATTAAGCTGGATTTTTCTGTTGTCCTGATTAGCAATATTTAAAAGTATTTAGAAACACACGTACCGTGTATAAACAGCCTCTATTTATTTATATTGCAGATGGGCATTCTTGGTGACTCTTGGGTTCTTCTCACTGTTTGGCGTACTTATGATTCAAGCATACTCGTACCGAATGGAACTGATGATGAGCATGCTGACTCTGTTTTCCATCGTCATGCTTTGCTACATCGTCGCCGACCTCGACTCACCGTTCACAGGATTTTTCCGGATTGACGTTCGAATTATCTCGGATGTCATATACCGTTTGGAGATGTTAAGTAACATGGCATTTTTGGGTTGTACCGAAACCGCCTGCTATCCCGACAGCTCTAAGTTTCGATACAAACGATGAGTTATACCAAATTTAATGACGATTTCAGGAGTAAATTGATTGAGAATTAAATGCATTTGTAAAAATGAATGATTACATTTTATTCCTAAACTTTATGGGCAACAGAAGTTCTTTGATGTTGAGTGCATCGCATTGCTAAGTACTCATAGGCTTAGATACCCATAACGTCACGACAGAAATGATATTGTGCAAGCTTTCGAACTGAAATATGCAGATAAGGGTTTAATACACAATAAGCATGTCATGAATTTTGATGTCCAAATGATACCATATACTTTTCTATGAAAGGAGACGATGATTGCACAAAGGTTTTACAGGTATGTATAATATCAATTAAATATCAGTGTATATGCCAAAATCGAATGAAATTGAATCATATAACTGTTTTGTTTATCTTCGGTAAAACAAAACAACAACAAATAAAAAAACAAAAACAAACGAGATACAGAATAAAAATCAATGTTTACTAAACCGAATGCTAAGTTATAAGAGAGAAACAAATGTCTGTCTATCTGTCTGTCTGATGTAAACCAGTTTTGCTAAAACTTCACATATTAAGGACCAATTGTATAGTTTTTTTCTTTGAAATACTGGATGCGTTGGTAACCGGTCTCTATAAACAGGTTGACCATATGAAGATGTACTAGTTGCTTTCGTAACTGCTACACCTTGCCTTACAAACCGAATATTACACTGTGCTGCTGGTCGATTCCGTCTCTAGGAAATCAGCCAATACTCGCAGTACATGCCTCCATTGGTAGTATCTTCCTTGCTGTAGTGTTTTCTTGCATCCAGACAGGATGTGGGACATCGACCTTCTCTGGCTGCCGTTCGGGTCCTCTGTCGTTTCCCACTATTGCAGATTGACGGACGATGGAAGAGTGTCATATACTGATCTCAACATAAAATAGATCCATAAGGGTTACATCTTCCACAATTCCGCCCATGTAAGCTTTCACTCTGGGAGGTTCCATTTGGTCCGTGCACATCGCGTACTCTCCGTACCTCCTTCTGAACCATCTGTCGTCGCTCCCAAGTGTTTGCCGTTTCCCACTGCTGGAAGTATGAAAAGCCAACACTTTGCCACATGTGATCCAAATTATGTCCCTCAGCTCCAGCATACTTTCTGCTTCCCCTACATCAGTTGATGCAGACCACTTCCGTCCCGTTCTTGTCTGTATCACTGCCTCAATGATCTTTGGATCTTTGGAGTCCTGGAGTGTCATAACCTGCCTGCATTTGGACACAATGAACTTCTCGAATCCCGTTAGTAGCAGTTCAGTAGTTCAGTAGATCGTCCATACAGTTTGATATCTGTGAAGCTTGGCGGGACTCCTAGCCTTTTTCTCAGGTACCTGTTAACAGCAACAACAACCATGGCAGTCTCGGTAGCATGTCATGCTGGTACATACAAGTCTCATACTCTCCCAGAAGTCCGGTCTTGTTTATTTTCCCCGGTTATTAGTAAACGTAGGGTTGGGTGTTCTTCTTATTCTGTCTATCACCCAGTGTTTCGTCATACCATTTCCCAAGGCTTTTGAGGGGGATTGCCAGTTATTGAAGGGATCTCCTTACAGTCATACAAAGATATTTCTGGGGTTTAAACTGCATCCTTGCCCACAAGACCACCTCCTCTAGTGCAGTCATAACCTATCTGGCTTGTACATAAGTGGTGATTGTGACGGTAAGGCCATCCATGAACTCCGGTAGGCTGAATGGTATACTGACTTCATTCTTGGTCCTCTGGTTTCCTTCTCTGCAGCCTTATGAGGAAGTTCATTCCCATAACGAAGAGAATTGGCGATATGGTTCATCCTGTCACTATATCTTTCTCCAGATCTATCCACTTTGAAGTGTTTTCCCCAGCTGCGAACCTCATCTGCATCCCTCCGAAGTAGTTCATTATCTTGTTTCATATCATGGATGGGACATGATAATGCCCCTAGGCCACCTCGATCAACATGTGTGGGACCGACCCATAGGCATTGGTAAGATTAAACCAGACTACTGTCTTGTTACCTCTGGTATTCTTGGCTTCCCTGGTCAGTTGGCTAATTGCATTTGTATGATCGTTGTATCCCAAGAACCAGGGAATACCTCCCTTCTGGACTGCGTTGTCGTCATAAGTGTTCTCCACCATGTAGGATGTCATCAACCTAGCGAGGACGGAAAAGAAGATATTTCCCTCTAAGCTCGGCAATGAGATGTTCCTAAACTAGTAAACTGTCTTTGAGTCTTTCTCCTTTGGGGTAAAGACTCCCTCCGCTGTTTTCCAGCATGTCGGTATTATCTTCCACACTTTATAGACGAGTCTCCACAACCTCCTTAACAACCGCGGGCATTTCTTATACACCTTGTATGCCACTTGAGCCTTGTGCCGATATTGATCTTGCTTCTTGACAATTTCAGAATGTCCTTCCTAGTTGGGGGCTTGGTATCCAGTGGTGTATTTAGGGCATCCACCTCCTCGATTCTAGGACACTCTTCCAGTGGTTCTGCTCTCCTGTAATCAGAATGTTAACTGCTTAGATGATCCTCCACTTCCTTATGGGAACTTTCAAGACGGCCTGATCTTTCATCTCCCAACCCAACATGGACTTCGTGAAAAGGAAATGGTATTTCTCGAAGTTCGCGCTTTTCTTTGATCTCTCTTTCCTTCCTTTCTGCATTCCATAGACGGCGAAGTGTCCCTCTAAGGTCATCTCTGAGCTGCTGTAGCCCACATGTCTGCTCGGCAGGCGCTTCCTTGATTTTCCCAGGCTGTTACATTATTTATCTTTGGCCACTGCAATCTCTTCTCGCACTGGTACTTTGCTTCGACTGGTTCACCACTCAATGTAGTTTGTACCATCGCTAGTGTCGAATTTGTTCGTATCCTGGTCGTTTCCAGTTGGTCTGCTAGACTGAGCCTCTAATTCTCCTCTCTCCTCTCTCGGGAAGCGGTCGTGGTCCTTGTTCTGTAGCTTGCTGTAAGTATCCCCTCACGAGGACTGCATTCCGAGCTGCAAACACAGGGTAATAAGATTAAGCAATCATGGTTTCACTGAATAACGCCTATTTGGAACATCTTCTCAAGGCCCACCAATACTGCCATGGCCGCCATATTGAAAAACATCTCCTCAAGTTCCACTGGTGCATTTGAGCTGGAATTTTGCGGAATTGTGCAGGAACTGAAATAATGAGTATTTCTTGCCTTAAAACATTTCGAATTGTATTGATATTTTTTAATTAATGTTCTTGCTGCTACTTACGCTGATGGATGCCCGTAATGTACCTCTTGTGATGCATAGAGAATTTTGAAATTGAGTAAGAGATGGATTAAGTCGCATGTAAAATCACAATTGAATAGTGGTTGAATTAAGGGAGAGAACTCGTACCCAAGCTTTGAAAGGCATTGATACAAGGCCTAAGCTTGTTTTCTCAGTCCATACGTACCATGGTATGCGTTATATTGTTCAATATTAAATAAAAATATTGTTTAAAACAAACTAAGTCGTAATACATGATCAACAACTACAATGGTACAGCTGTAACGCTTAGATTTTAATTCATTCAGTTATAAATTTGTGCACAAATGTGGTATCACTCAGTGTGTGTCATTTGTAAAATCTTGCAGTACCAGGCGGGGCCTTGATTAATTAGTTTCCCGTAAGAGCCTCTAAGGAGAAGAAAATATAATAGACATTTTTCTTTTATTTTTGTTGATTCCGGCACAGGGACTTTGTGTGATTTTAACTAATATTAATGACCCATAACACTGCACATAGAACACAGAAATCCCTAAGACATATAATCTGTACCTCCATCTCACAACACGAGGTAACTTTGAAAACGGATAACTGAAGTCGGACAGCTAGTCGCCAATAATATATAGAATATGTGATACAATGGAATAGATAGCTCACCACTACAGGATCTTCACTATATTTTTTCTAGGTTGAGTACTCATTACAAACTCTATTTACCAATAAATCAAGTCAGACTTAGATTTGAGTCAATGCCTCCGAACTCCGTGATATAGCTAGAAATTACTTAAACCATCGAGTTCCAAACAGTTGCAGCTATCTAGCTCATGACATATCTGGAACAATAACACAAAACTTGTCTATAAAAACACGTGTGTTTAATGATAAAAAAATCTAACATGGCTGGCAACAAATGTGATATGGTATATGTGGAAATACAGATAAAACGGTAACCTGCCAAGATAATGGCTTTGTCGGCCGGGAGAAATTTCAATCAAGGTATCATGTATCAGGATATCATGTATCAGGATATCATGTATCAGGGTATCATGTATCAGGATATCATGTATCAGGGTATCATGTAATTTTTATATATGAATCCTTATACTGTCATATCTGTCCAATGACACACCATGTAACAATAATTATCATCGCCTGGAATGTCAAGTTTATGTCTGAAACACCACTCCTTAGTACATGTACATCCTATGAATCTTAGTTACTTCATGGTTTTAGAAATGAAGGCGATTTTAGATGTGTCATTGGATCAGTTATGTAAAAAGGCAAGCAAGGCTGCAAATATGAACTGGTAGTAATTGGTGTTCAAAGTTCGTTTCATCATTTCCATACATGGATTTTCTTTTGTGTGTGTCTGATTTTTATTTGAAATGTTTCTATAAATCGCAATTTTGGCCAATAATTCTTGAATAACGAAGAATATTGGACCAAGTCTTTCTTTCAGATCTCATTTAGAAATACCATATCTATGTGCGATTTGTGTTCAATGCTCGTTAGCACGTTTTGTCCATAAGATGGTACAAAAGACACACAAGTGAATATCCCCTTTTAATATAAATTTAGAGTTAGATACAGTTCTGCCAAACAAGGAATTGCATCATGCGGCTAATTCCTCGTTCTGGGACTCGTCACTGATATTAATGGCATGAGATTTTGATTTAAATATGTGTTATTATGTGTAATGTTATATGGTCTGTAGTTTGATTACTGGTATCTATGGTCACGACTCTAAATATC